GAGTCTCGCGGGAGTGTTTCGGCCCTTGATTGCAGGACCGTCCGGCAGCCGCCGTCTCACCTCGTCTTTCCGCTGGACAGTCCGGCCAGGAATGTGCCGACCCTCTCCTGCACCCCGCCCTGCTCCCCAGGCACAGATTGCCAGTGGCCTCCCTCTCTCGCCCAGCCCCAGATAGCCTCATCGGCGTTGAGTCCGGGCTGTAGCCCGCAGGGTTCACCAGCCTCAGCTCCAGCTCAGCGTCCTGAGGTACTCCCGCACGCGCTTCCTCCCCACGGTGGCCGGCGCATGTCCCCGAGGACCCCGCAGCAGCGTCCCTGGATATGCCTTTTCCTTCCAGTTGCGTCAGGAAGGCACCGAGTCCCGCTGTTGCTGTTGCCCTGCTAGTTCCATCCATTCCACCTCGCCCTCCCCTAGCACACCGCTGAATAGTAGTCTGGCCTTCTCCCCATACCGCGGGCTATTGGAGTCCCACCAACCAGGCTTACCCTTCCACCCACTTGCCCCGCAATTCCGCGTCCGCCCGGAAGTGGGCCTCATCAGCAAGATATGCTGCTTCAGTCCGTTGGGCCTCCTCCCACATGGCGGCGTACTCCGCCACGAAGGCCTCGCTTGGACTCATCGCCTTGATCAGACGCTTCTTGGGGCGCTTGCAGGCAAACCCCAGCCGGTAAGCCAGTTCAGGCAACTGCTGCGGCACCGGCTGATGCCAAACCGCTCTGAGACAAACTGCCGCACCACCCTCCAATACCAGTTGGCCAGTTGATGCCCGCCGCAGCGGCGGTTGTTCCACCGCCCCTTTCAACTCCTCCTGCTGCGTCTGTCAGCTGAACCACCGGTCTGCTTCGAATATCAGGGCCGCAGTCCCTCCCTCACCGAGGCCGACGCCCCAACGCCCGATAGTGTGGGGGTCCCGCTCCAGCGCCTCCGCCGTCGCCGCTGCCGTCAAGCCCTGGGCCAGCAGCAGGATGGCGTACCACCTTTCCCGCTCCCGGGGTGTGGGAGCCAGAATCACACGCCGCCGCAAGTCCTTGACTCCCATCTGCCATTGTTCCAGAGACCGGTCTATCTCCCTCACGCCCATCACCAACCCCTCCCAATTTCTGAGACCAGCTACCTCGGTTCCTTCACCAAGGTTCCTTCACAAATTTACCCCATGCGTCTGCGCATTTCACCTTGGCTTTGGTTTAGTTCCCGATTTCGCCCAGGAATGACAACAGCGCTGCGTTTACCGCGTCCGGTTTTTCCTCGTGAAGAAAGTGACCTGCCCCGGGTACAAACTGGGTGCGCAGGTTAGTCGCTGCCTTTTGCCACGATGCCTCCGGATCCATACCGCCTGCCGTTGCCGTGCGTTGCCGGCGCTCTCCCCAAAGGTACAGGAGCGGAATGCTGAGCACTCGTTCGGCATCGGCTCGCCAGTCTGGCGGATCTTCGTAGGCCGCTGCCCGGTAATACGAAAAACCGCCGCGCAATGCACCGGGCTGCGAATACGCCCTGGCATAGACCGCAACTTCTTCATCAGACATCATTGCCTGGTTGACCGACCAGTTCCGGTAGAAGTAACGCAGGTACGCTTCTTCATTTCCCCGCACGAGATGTTCGGGCAGGTCGGGTATCTGGTGGAAGTACGAGTGCCACCTTTCCCGCACGCCCTGCGGCGTTTGTAGTTCCAGCTGCTCCAGCGGATGCGTACCGTCCAGCAATGCGAGACGGTCGACTTCCGCTTCATGGTCGAGACAGTATCGGTAGGACACCCGCACGCCGATATCGTGTCCAACAATTGCAACTTTGTCGTGTCCCAAATGTCGCACCAACTCGTAAATGTCGGTAGCCGCCGTACGGGTTCGGTAGTCTTGCAGCGGCTTTTCAGACGCGCCGAATCCCCGCATATCGGGAACAATTACCTGGTAATTCTGCGACAGTACCGGAATCTGCTTGCGCCAGGAGAACCACATCTCTGGCCACCCGTGAAGCAGCACAACCGGGTAACCATCACCTTCGATAACGTAATGAATATTCACTCCGTTGACCCGTGCCGTGCGGTGTGTGAAGTCCCAATCTGGCATGATGGTCACCCCCTTCTGTACAAGACCCGCAGAACGCCCAACCGCGTTCGCTTTTTACAAGTTGATTACGTTTAGTCCAACCCGGGACAAATCTTCGTCGCGCTGGCCACTGGGATAGCCACCCACGCCGATGCCGCCCAGAATCACGCCGTCCTGCATGATGACCAATCCGCCTTGACCGTGAGTAAACCGGGGGTCACCAAGGTCAGCGATGCCCCGACCCTGTTCCTGCAATCGGGCGGCGTGGGCGCCGGAGTCCTGGCCCATGACGGCTGAAGTGTATGCCTTGCGGAGGGCATGGCGGCGACTGAAAATGCGGAGGTTGTCCATGGTGCGGTATGCCAGCAACTCACCACCAGCGTCCACAATTGCCATCGCCACCGGTTCGTCCGGAATTTCCATTCCCTTGGCGAGCATGGCATTCATTGCCGCTGTGACTTGTTCATTGGAAAGCGTCGGTTTAGTAGCCATAGTGGGCCTCCAGTTGAAAGATGTTCAGGTAGTGCGCCGATGATACCACGTTAACGCCGACGCCCCGAACAAATGCGTTCATCGCCACCATGAGTTGAACTACCGGCCCTCGTCGAATGTACAATTAATTCTAAAATCCGTGAGCAAAAATCCTGGAGCCCATCGTTCACGACATGCAATCGCCCATGAATGTAATCAATTCAAACTTTGCCGGTTCAAGTCCATCCGGTTTCGGCGCACCACACCGGTTGCCAGCCGGGACAACACCTCTCCCGCCGCATTGCCTCAAATTGACGTGCCAAGTCGCGGTAAATTGCTGTCCGTCCAGCATGTTGCCAAGCGGCGATGTCAGGCTTGGTGGTAGAATGCGACCAACTGGAGTGCGCTACCCCGACGCTGCGATGATACCGAAGCACGTTTGGGCCCGTTTCGCCGGCGACCGGTCGGAACATTCCGGCAGAAAAAGAAAAACGACCAACCCCAACATTGACGACGTCCCCTGCTCCACAGGATCGGGGCGCCGTATTTCCCGCCGGTAATGCGAGACTGGTTTGACACTATGACGAAATATGACGATTTCCCGCCTGGTGAACGTCAGGCGGTTTACCGCGCAATTTATTCACGGCGGGATGTTCGGGTATTCAGGAATGATCCGATTCCTCCGGCAAACGCTGGCCCGCATAATCCAGGCAGCCCACCACGGCCCGTCGGTGGGTTTCATGCAACCGTGGGACTTCATCATCGTTGGTGACACCAAAGTGCGCGGGCAAGTAAAAGACCTATTCGACCGGGAGCGTCAGGCCGCCGCCCAGTTCTTCGACGAACCCCGTCGTTCCCAATATCTGGAATTGAAGCTCGAAGGGATCATGGAATCACCGGTGAACCTGTGCATTACGTGCGACCCTACCAGGGCTGACGAGGTATTGGGGCGGAACTCGATGCCGGAGACGGATGTTTATTCCACGTGCTGCGCCGTGCAGAACCTTTGGCTGGCAGCGCGGTCGGAAGGAGTGGGAGTGGGCTGGGTCAGCATCCTGAAAACGCCCTCAACTGCGGCGGCTGCTGGGCATACCACCCCACATCATCCCCGTGGCTTATCTCTGCCTCGGATATCCGGTCGAATTCGCCACCCAGCCGTTGCTCCAGTCAGTGGGTTGGCGGGAGCGCCTGCCGCTAGCCGATCTAGTGCACTACGACGGTTGGGATGCGCAGCCGGACTCCGGTATTTGGGAAGAAGTGCGGGCGGCGTTGATCGGTGTGAACGGCGCTTCTCCCGGCGAGGAACCACTGCCTGAGAGTTAGACCCGTCGCCAGGGCACGTTACGGCGCTCCCTCTCGGTGTACGCGCGCGGTGGTTGGGAAATGACCCTTAGGGTATGACCCTGCGGAAGAACGCCAGCGCGTTTCCACCGATGATCTTCTGCACCTGTTCGTCCGTATAGCCCCGGCGGATCAAGCCGCGCACTATGTTTTTCCCGTCGGCCGGCGATTCCAACCCGTTCAGATACGGAGCAGGCAATTGGTCAGGGCCGTCGCGGCCCATCATGTGACGGTGAAAGGCCACGTGGTCGCCTATCGTCGTGTCGGTACCGATTCCAACGTGATCAATTCCACCAGCTGCACCATGTAATCGTAGTGATCCAGAACACAGTCGATGTCCTGCTCGGGATCGTCGCTAAGCGAGTTGGGCACCGCGGTGATGCAAATCAGTCCGCCTTTCCGGGCGCATGCAACCAGCTCCTCGTCCTTTCGGGTACGCCCGTTCGGACGCAGCGTGTAGGCCGCGTTGTGACTGAAAACCACCGGCACTCGAGAAAATTCTATGGCGTCCAGCGCCGTCGGCATCGAGGCATGGGACAGGTCCACCGCCATCCCAAGGTCATTCATTCGGTGCACAACTTCGATGCGGAAATTGCTCAAACCACCGGGGTTGCGTTCGTTCAGGCCGTCTCCGATGAAATTCTTTCGGTTGTACGTAATGCCGGCCAACCGCACGCCCATGCCGAACAGAGCGTCCACTCGTTCGATGCGATTCCCGATGGCAAGGTGTTCTAAGGTAGGCATGAATCCGATATTGCCCTGTTGCTTGGCGGCGACTATATCGTCAGCATTGCCTATTTTGACCACGTTTTGCTGAGAAGCGACGTCGGCCAACATGCCACCGACTTCGGCGACCAGGTCTTCGTATTCCACAAAGGACATGTCGGTCGTATTTTTTAGGCCACTGAACACGTTGGCCGTGGTCACAGTTGTCCAACCGCCGGCTGCCGCAGCCTGGTAACCCCACTGATAGCGGTTGCCGCGCAGGTAGTCTATGAATCGCTCCATGGACTCGGGCATCACGAACGGGTGCTGGTGCACGTCCACCATGACCGCCTCTTCCATAATGCCCTGGAATCTGGCGTCTTCGGAGGCGGTCAGCGGAACGGTGAATGAGGGCACCCGATTCAGTTCACGGGCCAATGGGATTCCATTTGTAGCCATGGGTTTAACCTCCGATCCTGGGCGACCAGTCGTGGCAGACACAATGATGCCAGGGGTTCAAACGACAATCAAAAACCGTAGGGAGTCCAGGGTTGGTGCTGGACGGCAAACATGCGGTCAGCCCGCTGCAGTGCCCCCGGTGTACACTCGTCTACCAGGCCGGCCCGCGAGAGGGTAGTGAAGCTCACGGTTCCCAGATACGCTGACGCCAGATCACGAACGGATAACACCAGATCGGGTGACGAATTTGAACTGCGGCATATCGCGCCTTTGGACGAACCCTCCAACTCGAACCGTCCTTCATTCCAGGTACACAGGTCATCCCGCACGTCCAGCACCAAACCGCCAGATTCCATATAATGCCGGGTCTTCAACGCGGCGGCCACATCCACCAGACGCAGCCACATGCCATCGCGCGTGGTTCGGTGCAGCCGTCTCGGATCTGCCAGCATCCAGGGTAATGGATCGTCCACCGGACGCCTGTCAGCTTCAGTTATAGTTACCAAATCCACTTCAAAGCAAAATCGCCACAAAGCGGCGTTTGCCTCTTCAGTAATTGCCATTAGCTCGTTGACGACCAGGGTCGTTCCACTGGTACGGTATTTCGCGTAGCCATCCACCGTTCCACCGTCCACATACGCGACGTAGAACAGACCCCCACGGCCACCCTGTCGGTGTTCCGGCGCTTGTGATTCCCGCTCCCACAGATGAATCGTCTTTTGGATCACCCCCGGTCGACCGACGGTACTGCGCCGAGAAACCTCGGGAAGCTCTTTTGTAATGTCCTCCGGATCTACGAAAACGACTTTGCCATGACTCTCATGTCGCCTGGCGTAGGCATTGTGCTGTCGCTCGATGGTCCATTGTTCGCGCAATGAACCGATTCCATACCCAAATCTGCCGTATATCGCGCTTTCGGAGGCAAACAGCGCAGCCAACGGTTCGCCGCGCTCGTGTATATCTCGGATCTGATGGTGCATCATCCTGGTTAAAACGCCCTGCCGCCGATGCGTCGGCTGTACAGCGATGTTGGCAACGCCTGCTGTCGCCAGGGAAGAGCCCGGCACGGACATCTCGATTCGATGCGAATGTGCACCACCGACGATGTTGCCTTCGTCGAATACTGCAATGGAGCGATCCAGGTCAAAATGCGGACGCAACACCTCCGGATCATTATCCAGCCGGTTGCCATAAGCCCGCGCCTCAGCCCGATTCCACTGGACGAATTCGTCAGGGGTTATGGCCCTCATTTCCAGCATCCAGATTACTCTCCCCGTTTGGCAGTTAACTCCAACGAATATTGTGGATTATAGGGCATTACGCTATATCCGCCACATTGGGCGGGTTCAGGGATATATTATCTGATATTGGGCACGCACGTGCCCCAGGAATTTGCTGGGTTAGGACCCCGATGGTTCACGCGTATTAGCCACCAGGACAGCTGTTATCGGTTCTTTTGACCTCTCCGGCACGGCCCAGTCTGCGTACCATCTTCAGCACGTCGGCGCTGTTGATCTGACCTACCGGAAGGTCACCCAGCGTAGCGAAGGCGTACGTTTCCAGACTACCTGACCATTGGGAAGAGTACCTGGCGTTGCGCCACGTGGCCTTCCGAAGTTCGATCACCCTGGCCGTAGCCTCGACGGAGGTTGGCATAGACCGGCGCCGCTTGTGGGCCAATGGATCGCCGCCCGCGCGTGTCATCTTCCTGTTGGCCAGGGCCGCCTCTCACGCTCCTGCCACCGACACGGCAGGATTGCCGCCCAGTCCCAACTGGTTACGGCGACCCCGCATCGTGATGCGCTGGACCCAACGACGGGAACCGGAGGGATCCACCCGGAGATACAGGCCGCCCCCATCGGCGTGCATACCCGGTCGTTGTTCCGCCCTCACGCGCCCTGCCGTGAGTGCGTTGAGTGGGAGTCTACCTTTGCCTTTCAATCCTGATCAGCCGGCCTTCCTCCACACCTCGATGGCCGCTGTTCTACTGGATCCTTTTAGAACATGGCGAGAGGAGAGCCAGCCCGCAATCCTCGTTTCATGCCTTAAAACGGCCAATTACTCAAACGGACAATTAGAACCTAGCAGCAGGGGACGTCTCGGAAACTGCCCACTGTCCAGACCTAAACTCGCCACGGTAAGCAGTCCAGACCACACCTACGGAGCAAGCCGCCTCGATGGCGGCTCCAACCCAATGCACCAACACAGCCTCCATCATCCCTTGGGTCGCGCACAAGTCCAGCCGCTGCTCGTGTACCATTTCGTGTACCAAAATTTGTCCGACTGACGCAGGCTTTATTAGAACACAACGGGTCGTTGCAGAAAATGAAAAACCCCGATTTAGGTTAAAAATCAGGGCTTTCAAGGGGATTGGAACTCCCCAAAATCAAAACGACTGGTGGAGCTGGCGGGAATCGAACCCGCTACCTCTTCAATGCCATTGAAGCGCTCTCCCAAATGAGCTACAGCCCCAGCCGATGCGTCCGGCGGCGCAGCGCCACCGGACGCAACTATTCTAGCAGGCCAACGATCCGGCCCGCAACTCAACCCCCCAGACTAACCCTTCCGGGTGTACTTGACGACGGTGCGGCCCGTGCTGCCCTCATAAGGTTCCACCACGTAAAGGTCTTTCTGGCTGTCTACCCAAACGCCGTGGCAACTGCGGTGCGTCAAATCACCCCATTGAGTCAAACGCTGACCGTCAGCGTCCAGAATGCTCAGCATCCCGCCGTTGTGTTCCGCAACGTACGCTACATCATCATCATCGATGCAAATCACCGCCGGGCCGATCAACTTGCTGGGCCAGTCGGTAATGTGCGTGCCGTCCTGCTGAAACACTTGCACCCGGTCATTTTCCCGGTCCGCGATCAACAGGTTGCCGTGCCGATTGATCCAGGCGCCGTGAGGCAAATTGAACTGACCCGGCCCAGGACCTGGCTCGCCCCAGGAGAAAAGATGCTCCCCAGACGCGGTGAATTTGTGCACACGGGCATTGGCATATCCGTCAGCGATGTAAATCTCACCCTCACTCATATTAACAGCAGCACTATCCGGCCGAGGCATGTTGACGGCTCGGCACGCACCCCGAACGACTTAGCCAGAGTTGGAGGAGTTGACGAAAGCGCTATTGTCGGCGCCGGTATCCGAGCGGTAGCCACGCTCCCCGATGGTCATTACAACAGCTCCGCCACGTCCGTTCGGCTCAGCTTGAAAATTTGTCCCATGTTCCGGTCTACGAGCCAAACGTAACCCCACTGGTCGATAATAATAGCGTGGGGAAACTCGAACATCCCGGCTCCCCAGGACTTTACGAACTTTCCTTCGCGGTCGAATACCATAATCGGATGCTCGGGATTCCGGTTGAAACAATAAATCCGGTCTTCATCGTCGCCGAAAACAGCGGCCGCCGGCATGGGGATACCATTGGGCAGTTGAGCCCAGTTTCGATCAAATTCGTAGGTGTGCGCGCCAGTCCACACGATGTTGGTTGCAGTAGTCATCAAAGCCTCCGTGTGAGAGTGTGCTGAAGTCGCTCCCAGCGCAGCCAGAACCCTCGTGGCTACAACGGGAATTCCCGGCCCCAGAATACCATAACGCAACCTTCCCTACCCAATACTCTCCGAATACTCCAGCAGGATGGCCGGTTATCCAATGCAGTGGTGGCCGCTACGGAGCCGATGATCACGAAGCTTGATTTCTGGCAGAACCGGTAGGGATAGCCGGCACCATTGAGTATTGTAGTCAGGAGTTACGGCCTGGGCCGGGTCACATAAACGCAGGAGCGCCGGGTTTCAAAAAGCGCTGATCCCAGGTGTGTTTACCCTGATGCTGTAAAGGGAATGCCCGGAAGTCAGACAGGGTGTGCTCATCTGGTGCGTCAGTCCTCGTGGACCGTATCCTAACATGATTTTGCGCGCGTCACCTCCGGAGTCGGCAGCACGCCGGCCTGTTCTCCGTCGGGGTTCACGATCCAAACACCACCCGAACCAGTGCACCATACGCGGCCTTCGGTATCGACCTTCATGCCATCGGGAACACCCGGAGCGGTGGAGCCCATCTCGATAAGGATGCGATTCCCGCTCAACGTACCGTCAGCAGCAACGTCAAACGCCCGGATCCGCCGGTTGGGGCAGAATTCCCCGCGTTCTTCGCGGTCGAAATCCGCCGCTTCGGCCCGACTTATAGCAACGTACAGTATCGACCCATCGGGCGACAGCGCCAATCCATTGGCGTACTCACACTCGTCGGTGGCCAGATGCACATTTCCGGCGGGGTCTATGCGATAAATGCCAGCAAAGGGAATCTCGCGCAATTCTTCGGGAAAACGAAGATGCGGGTCGGTGAAATATATCGTGCCGTCGGTACGGCAAATAACATCATTGGGTTTGTTAAATCGTTTGCCGTCCCAACGGTCTGCAATTGTCGTCACGTGGCCCGCAGCGTCCATCCGCGTGACGCAGCGATGGTCGGCTCCTTCGCACATGAGCATGTTGCCCTGACGGTCCAGCGTGCAGCCGTTACCCTCACCCGTGTTTTCCCGCACCACCGACGTGAAGCGAGTCTGAGGGTCCCATTTCAACAACTGCTCCCGACCCAAATCTACGAAGGTCAAGTATCCACCGGGGTGCCACAGTGGCCCCTCCGTGCGATCCAACGTACCGTCCAGCAGTGTCAGTTCTGATTCGGACAGCAACCCAGACAAATCATCCGCCATTTTCGCGCCTCCTGTCGTAATCTACTATTCGGCGCGATTATAGCAACTGTACAACATCATCCGTAACAGTTCAGAGTTGCGGGGAAGTGAGCAGTTGTCGGCAGGCGGTGAGGGGTTGAAGCCTTGTACGCGCCAGGTGCCGACAGATTGAGCCAGCGTCATCTTGGTGTCAGTGCCGCTGCGGAGCGTGAGCCACACGCTGATGTTACGGCTGATTACCACCGTCGCAGGCTGCGCTCGGCGGCGTGTTGTCCGGCGGGACTCTGGTTCAGCCACAAGAGGAAGAGTTCCTTGATGTGGTTCTCCATGCGTCGGCACAGCCTGGTTGGGGCGGCCGACGGTATCCTGGTAGGTACGGCAGAGGGCCAGCAGGCCGCTGTTCCAAGGCCAGTGGGCGTGCGCCGTTGCTGCTCTGGCCGTTGCTGCTCTGAGGGATGGTGAAGGCGGTCGCCTGACGCTAGAGTTGTGGATGGCGGTCAGCCCATTGGGCCAGCCGGTCATCATACGGTACATCATCGGGTAGAGTGCGCGCAGGTCGTGGATGATGTCACGGCTCGCCACAGGTGGGTCCCAACAGGAGCGTTGCTTGGGCCGTCGTATGTGATAGTGCGCGTAGAAGTCGCGACCACACCCAGCGAACTGATACGCCCAGGACCCCTCATCCCCCACGGGGCCTTAGCGCCCCCGGCCCGACTACAGGAAGTAAGCGCTCGCTGGGGTGCTGAAGTCCACACTAGCCAGTTTTGTCCGCTCCTCCCCAGCGTCTCTCGTCATTGACCACAGGACTGCCTCGGGATGCCTTCAGAAGGCCCTTCAGTTCAGGCCTGGTCCTTGCAAGCCACCCTTTGCGTGGCGTCCATCGATGGCTCCCGGGCTGAGAAACTCAAACCCATGCACGGTGTCCAGGACCACTGGATTGTGCGGAAGGCAGCCTGGCCTCTCCCCCCGCAGGGCGGCAATCAGGCTGAATCAGTTGATGACCCCCAGGCGTTGCTTGCCCATCCCATTTTCTCCAGTGGCGCGGTGGGCTACACAGCGTTGGCAACTGGGCAGGTGCGGGCGATTAAGCGTGCTCGGTTTACCTGCAGCCGGAACCCGGCAGGTCCCATCCGTTCCCGAGTGCCGCTGGGTCCGCAGCCACACGGAACAGCTGTTTACCGCAGTCGGACCCTGTTCGCCCCACGTGTTCAAACCCGCTGGTGGGCCGTCATGCGGGTGCGAGCAAGCCGTGGGCCGAGGCATGCGTGTTTCTTGGCTGGTCCCGGCTGCTGCTGCTCGTACTTGGGCTTCAGACCGGGCATCCGGCGGTGCCGCCCATTTGTCCCGCCTTCCGAACTGGCGATCCGTGTTTCCAGACTCTCGTATGGCTGTTGCCTCTCAACATGATGCATCAGCATCATCCCGGTCCGCGCGTGCTGTAGGTCGAGTTCCGCATCCCTCCCCGAGTATAGGACATCACCACCTCTCGCAGCTCGCAGACGATTCCCGCCACCTTCGGCCCCATCAAATCACCTCGTCCAAGGCTGAACGTACCATCATCCCAACCCGATGGACACCAACAATACCGTGGGCTATGATGGCAACCGCTTCCATTCCGGTAGTTTCAAGACGTCGCGTTGGGGAGTGAGTTTTCGTCGACCGGGCGTTTCACGGTAGCGTAATTGCCATCACCATCGCAGTTGTATCGATGAACAACACCGCGTATGCGAACCGGATATCTGATCCGCCGGACACGTCTCCATACGATTTTTGGATGTGGTGGAATCGGAACGCACTGATGCAACCGTCAGTCCCATCCGTGTGCTCACTCTCCGCTTGCACTACGCTGATAGCAGACGGCGACCTATTCAGCATCAGGACATGCCCCGCCACTACAATGTGTGGTACAAATCCGTCGCAAACGGGTGGGTAATGCTGTGGGTGAAAAATACGACCTGGCCATCATCGGAGCCGGCTCTGCCGGAATAACCGCCGCTCGTTTTGCCAATCGCCTCGGCAAGCGGGTGGCGCTGATCGAAGCCAACCGCGTGGGCGGAGACTGCACCTGGACCGGTTGCGTCCCCAGCAAATCCCTGCTCCACGCCGCCAGCGTCGCCAACACGGTGCGAAGCGCCAGCCACGCCGGCATCACCGTATCGCCGCCAACCATTGATTTCGCCGCTGTGATGGCCCGCATCCGGGATGTGATAGGACAAATCTATTCGTCTGAATCTCCAGACGCCCTGCGTACTGAAGGAATAGACGTGATCGAAGGTCATGCCGCATTTACAGGCAGTCGATCCATTGCCGCCGCTGGGCGATCCATATACGCGAAATCCTTTCTCATTTGTACCGGCGCATCGCCATTCATCCCGCCCATTCCCGGCCTCAAAATCACGCCGATTCTCACGTATGAATCGTTCTGGCAACTGGATGCACTCCCGGCCCGGCTGATCGTTGTCGGGGGCGGCCCGATTGGATGCGAAATATCTCAAGCCTGTCAGCGACTTGGATCCCAAGTCACACTGGTTGAGGCCCTTGATCGCATCCTGCCCAACGACGATACGGATGCCGCGCGGTTGGTGGAAGCCGCGTTGATCGCCGACGGGGTTGATGTTCGATTATCGCCCCGGTGGAATCGGTGCGACTAATCGATAAAGAGTTCTGCGTAACCGTCGCGGACGGAGTCCACATCATGGGTGACGCGGTTTTGGTGGCAGTTGGCCGACGTCCCAACGTGTCCGGAATGAATCTGGATGCCGCTGGCGTGAAGCATAGCCTGTCGGGTATTACAGTAGATGCCTTCCTGCGCACGACTGCCCGCGGTATCTATGCTGCGGGTGATTGTGTTGGTGACTTCCAGTTCACCCACTACGCCGGTTTCCAGGCTGCCATAGCCGTCCGAAACGCGTTGCTACCCGGCAAATCCCGCGCCCGACCGGAGCGCGTTCCCTGGGCAACGTTTACTGATCCGGAGGTCGCCCAGGCCGGTCATACGGATGCACAGGCCCGCGATGCCTTTGGCGGCAAAGTACGTACGACAATCCTTGAGATGGCCCAAATTGACCGGGCCGTCATCGACGGCACGACCACCGGGTTCATCAAGGTGACACACCGTGCCAACGGCGACGTACTGGGAGCCACCGTGGTGGGCCCACGAGCCGCCGAGGTGGTTCAGGAATGGACCAACGCCATCGATCAGGGGATGAGCCTTTCCGACGTTTTGAAAAGCATCCACCCTTACCCGTCGTTGGCAACCGGCAATCAGCAGGTTGCCTGGGAATCCTACCTGTCAGGGATTACCAGCGGGTTTCGGGGCAAATTGTTGCGACTGGTCAGTAGATGACCAACGCTGTAACGCGCGTCTGGCAACATCTCAGGGCGCCGGGCCAAACGGCGCCCTGAATACTCGGAACAATGCTAACGGGCTATCGGCCCAGCACCTGCTACCCCACTGTTACGTCATTCGTGCTCAAGATATGGAAAACCGCACCGGTCAGGTCTTGGGGGGCAACGCCGCGCGCTGCGGGGCGACCACCCTTCACGGACGACAATTCGATATCCTGGACCTCGACCATCTTGCGCAGATTGACCTAATGAGCCACTAGCGAATTGTCCCTCGGTTACCTCGTCCCTACACAGTGGCGCCGATGCGGAACTTTTTGGTGCCGCAATCCACACAAATCCCCTGCGTGGCCGGGCGTCCGTTTTTCATGGTAACGCCCTGCACTTCCCGCGAGTCTGTCTTAGCCTTACACTTGACACAATAGATCTGAGTTTGGGTGCTCAATTGTTTTCCCTCCGTGTTCGTCACCATCGGTGACAGTTGTATCCGTAATACCTTGCCGCACCCCATTATGTCAACGGCGTGCGCGACAGATTTTACGCCTTTTGGTGCTAATGTCCACTTGAACCCTAAATTGGCGGTCTGCGCTCTATAAATCGGGCAGTTTGTTCGTAGGAATGAGCAACTCGCAACACCACAGCTTCATCAAATGGCTTCCCCACTATTTGCAAACCCATCGGCAGCCCGTCGTCCGACAACCCGCACGGGACCGACACCGCTGGCAACCCGGAAACGTTGAACGGCCCGGTGAAACTGGGTTGCGTCAACGTCGTCGACCCGGCGTATCCATCGATCTTCGGTGCCGTCGACGCGTAGGTCGGCGTTACCAGAACGTCTGCCTCTCGCAGTGCGTCAGCCATTTCATCCTTGATTACCCGGCGCATCCGCACTGCCTGATTGTAATCCGAAGCGGTGAGCAACCCGCCCAACAGGAAACGGTTGCGGACCATATCGCCATAATCCTGTCGTCTGCTCTTAAGATTTGCCTCGTGGAACGAATAGGCCTCCGACATCATAATCACTTGGTTGGCGGTTTGGGCGTATTTGATATGCGGAATGTTTACATCCCGTATTTCTGCTCCCATCTCGGCCAATGTTTCCAGGGCACGTTCAACTGACCTGATTACTTGCGGGTCCACACCGGGCGCAGGTTCGTAAAAATACTCCCGCGGCACACCCACCTTTCAGACCGTCGACGCCGTCTTTCAGAGCAGCCAGGAAATCTGGAACGGGGACATCCGCAGTCGTTGGATCCTTTGGATCATACCCGGCGATCGCCTGCAACATTACTGCGGCGTCTTCCACTGTCCAAGTCATCGGCCCGCAATGGTCCTGCGACCACGAAAGCGGAACCACACCGAAGTTGCTGACCCGTCCAAACGTTGGTTTCACTCCCACTATCCCGCACATGGAAGCCGGCCCGCGAATGCTGCCTCCGGTGTCCGATCCGAGCGCACCCATGCAAAGTCCTGCTGCCACCGCGGCGCCGGACCCGCTGCTGCTGCCGCTGGCATGTGCTCGGTGTTCCATGGGTTGCGCGCCGGCGGGAACAGGCTCGAAAAATCGGGGCCTCCCAGCGCGAATTCATGCATCGCCAGCTTGCCCAACAACACCACACCCGCTTCGTAAAGTTTGGCTACCGTAGTTGCATCCTCGTGCGGTATTCGGTCCGGAGTAACTCGGGACATGGCGGTAGTTCTGATACCGGCGGTGTCATACAAGTCCTTCAGCGCAATCGGAATGCCGTGCAGCGGCCCCCGATAGTTGCCGGCGGCAATCTCAGCCTCCGCTTGCCGCGCCTGCTCCAGGGCTCGATCGGGTAACAGAGTGACGTAGGAATCCAGACGACCGTCGATCTCCCCGATTCTCTGAAGATATGCCTGCGTCAACTCGACTGGAGACAGGTGACCATCGCGGATCAAAGGCGCAGCCTCCGCAATGGTCAGGTAGTGCAGTTCATGGGAACTCGTCATCATCGACCACCTCTCAGCGCCACTGTATCCACGAGCCGACTACCTTGCCCAATCGGCCGGGAAAGTCATCGCCTGACCACCCAGGGGCAAATCAGCCTCGTGCAACATGGCGACCCTTTCGCGCAGAAATTGGTACAACGGCAGCAGCTCTTCCAGCTCCTTTTCGTCGAGGGGCAGCCCGGCCAATCGCACCAGCGTCCGGAGATCGTCCAACGTTACGGTTTCGTCCGCCATACCAAAATTCTCCGATGTTGCTTACGGTTAAAATACCGCGATGGGATTAACGGGAGAACCGGTTGTGTTATGCAGCCGCAGCGGGTTGATACTGACCAGGAAAGTCCACCGGTTTCTTTGACGACACTCCTGCGCCACGTCCTCGAGGTTGGCATTATCCAAGATCCACAGTCCCATCGCGGTTATGGATACCTGGTGAACCGGGTTGGTGAGCTGCCCACCGTACTGAGGTGGGCTCACGTCGTTGCCGGTATCCGATCCCAATACCGCGATGTCCCGCTCCTTAAACAGTGGCAGGCAAGCCGCTTGGCACGCAGTGGAACCCGCCTCGCGAGTCACCGGTCCCTCCACGCCGCGACGGTGCAGCTGACCGGTTCGAATCAGCAACACGTCACCCGCTTCGATCCGGAATCCGCAACGCTCTTCGGCTGCCAATATGTCGTCCGGCATCACACCCTCGCCGCGTTCCACCCAATCGATACCCCGCACGAAGGGCACATCCACCAGCACTCCGCGAGTCATGAATCCTCGCTGCGCCGCATCCACGGAACATACGGTGGCGCCCAGGTTGGTGGATACCATGTGGGCCGGCTTGCCGTTGTAGGTCTTACCGTTCCAGAAAAAGTGGGCCAGACTGTCCACGTGGGTAACCGACACGCCGTGGAATATCATGCCGATATAGTCCATCGCGACCGCCGACTTCCGCGACGACACCTTATCGCCGGTTGCCCATCCCTCGCCGCTCTCCACCATGTAGTGGACCGGAGGCGCCGGCACGTCGGGCGTGGGGTCCCAGGTGATTTCCCGCGATAACGAAACGCAATAACCTTCTTCAACCGTTGCCAGAGCTGATCGGGTTTTCTCGGGTGTTATCAGATTGGGCGTTCCCAATTCATCGTCGTCGCCCCAGCGACCCCAGTTGGAGAGGCTGTCAAACCAACCCAGGACTTCCTGTTCCGACGGGATACCTGCCTGCGGCATAATCGGGTCCTCCTTGCTTCGAGGCTCAATCGTCGTTTCAAATGATGTCTGGCATTATCCCGCAGGGCCGGCACCGGCGCAACCGACGATTCCGGCTCACGCGCACCTCCCATTAATCTGTCATTACGAGGAGTACAGCTAATCTGTCATTACGAGGAGCACAGCGACGTGGCAATCTCGATGAAGCTGAACACACGTCTACGAACCGCCGTTGGTACGGCGACGAGATTGCCAACCCCCGCATCGAGTACGGGCTCGCATTGACAAAGTCGGTACGCGTAACACGATCCCGGTGCTTTCGTCGGTATGTTATAATTCGGCCAACCACCCCGAGAGACGAAGATTATGCAGTGCCAAATTTGCAAAAAAGCCGGTATGACCGGCAACAACGTTAGCCACTCCAACCGCAAGACCAAAACCCGTTGGATGGCCAATGTCCACAAGCAAACTCTAGCTATCAACGGAAAGCCGGTTCGCTTAAAGATCTGCTCAAGGTGTCTGCGGACTATGTACAAGCCGCCACGGCCCAAGAAGGCCCGCACCCGGGCCGCTGCCTAAATCACCAAGCGAGCACCATCGGTAATCAGAACGGGCGCTTCGCCCGTTCTTTTCATGCAGGGCCGGGAAACTCCTGCGCGCGCTACTGGCCAGGTGCAACCCCGTTGGCAGCATCGCGTAGCGCTGCTATCGCCTCGGCCACAGACTGTTCCCGGTTGAAGATGGCAGTGCCAGCGACGAGGATCTCAGCGCCGGCCGCCACTGAATCGCGTGCCGTGGCGTCGGCTTTCACGCCACCATCCACCTCCAGCTGAACCGGATATCCATGCTCCTGAATCACGTCGTACAAACGGCGCAATTTCCCCAACGCCGCCGGGATGAACGATTGTCCACCGAAACCCGGATTTACTGTCATCACCAGCACGATATCCAGGTCGGGCAATACTTCCTCCACCGCCGAAATGGGTGTTGCGGGATTGATCGCAACTCCTACCTGGTTGCCATTCTCCTTTATCAAACCGATCGTGCGGTGCAGATGGGCACACGCCTCCGCATGCACCAGCACCTGGTCCGAGCTTACCTTCATCAAACCGGGTAGCAAACGATCCGGTTCGTGCACCATCAGATGCAAATTGAGCGGCAGGTCGGTGGCGCTGCGGATACAGTCCACCACGACTTCGCCGAACGAAATGTTTGATACGAACCGGCCGTCCATCACATCAACGTGTATCAGATCGGCTCCTGCGGCGTCGGCATCCCGCACTTGCTGCGCCAGACGGCCAAAATCTGCGGCCAACACCGAGGGAGCTATCTGAATGTGAGCAGCGGTATTGACCATCAGACCCCACCCCCGGCCAGAATCCCTTGCGCTCGGGCCAACCCTTCGGCAACCCGAACCGGAGCGGTGCCACCGGGATTGTCTCTCGCCGCCACCGATGCCGCCGCCGTGATGTCAAAGACGTCGGCGCCAAAATCCGACGAAAACTTGTGATACTCGGTGAGCGGCAAATCTGACAACGCTGTACCGGATTCTTCACAATATCGACAGAGGCGACGCATAACACCGTGAGCCTCGCGGAACGGGACCCCCTTCCCCACCAGATAGTCCGCCATATCAGTGGCCAGCATGTAGCTTTCCCCAGCCAACGATTCAACCCGGTCAGCGTCCAGCTCCATCCCTGACAGCATGTCGGCGAACACCCCCAGCGTGCTGAGCACCGTATCCACCGTGTCGAAAAAGCCCTCTTTGTCTTCCTGCAAATCTCGGTTGTATGTCAACGGCAACCCCTTGAGCACGGTGAGAATCCCCATCAGGTGGCCGTACACCCGTCCGGTCTTGCCCCGGGCAATCTCGGCGAAATCCGGGTTGCGTTTCTGCGGCATGATGCTGCTGCCGGTGGTGAACTCTTCAGCCAGCGCCACAAACCCGAATTCGCGACTGGACCAGATGACGATCTCTTCGGCAAGCCGGGAAATGTGCATCATTGCTACCGCCGCCGACGCGTGGTATTCCACCAGAAAATCCCGATCCGCCACGGCGTCCATGCTGTTGGCGCTAATCTCTGAGAATCCCAGCGACTCAGCCACCGCGTGTCGATCCGTAGGATACGGCACGCCGGCCAGCGCTCCCGCTGCCCAGTGGCAGCACATCCATGCGCTTGGCGCAGTCGCCGAACCTCCCGATGTCCCGCTCCAGCATTTCGAAATAGGCCAGCATGTGATGGGCGAACAAAACTGGCTGGGCCCGCTGCATGTGCGTATACCCCGGCATGATAACGTTGACGTATCGCTCGGCCAGTCCTACCAAAGCCCGCTGCACTCCCCTCAAACCAGCAATGGTGTCGTCAACCACTTCCCGGGTGTACATACGCATGTCCAGGGCTATCTGGTCGTTACGAGATCGTCCCGTGTGCAGTCGCCCCGCCGCGACGCCGATCAGGTCGGTCAGCCGCCGCTCGATGTTCATGTGGAGGTCTTCCAGCGAAGAATCCCACGGAAACTCGCCGTTGGAAATTTCCACCTGTACCGCGTCCAACCCGGCGCTGATACTGTCGGCATCATCCTGCGAAATTATGCCCTGCTGGGCCAGCATCGCCGCGTGGGCTTTGGAACCAGCTATGTCCTGCCGGTATAGCCTCCGATCGTAATGAATGGAGACGGTGTAATCGCTGTAATCCGACATTTCCCGCTGGCTCGTCAACCTTCCAGATAAGCGAAACTCGCCGCCAGATTGTCAAACACGCCGTCCGATGACGGGATCTCCATAATCGCTGCGCCGTCGTAGGCTTTGCCCTGCAGGATGCGCACCATCGCCCTACAATCCAGGTCCCCGTCTTCAACGCTCTCCAGGGCGACTCCATCGCGGGCCTGTTTGAAATGTACAATCTTGATGAAATCAGCGGGCAAAGCCGCCAATTCGTCCAGGGGATTGCTGTCGGGATGCCGTCGCAGCTGGTTGGTCGGGTCGGGACACAACCCCAGGTATTGGCCGGCGCTATCCGTCATTTGGGAGCGCGCCTCCTGAACCAGCAGACCCATCGACCGCAACGGTTGTCCCGAGTTTTCCATCGAGAACGTGACTCCCTGTCGGGCCGCTTCCTGAACCAACGGCACGATGCGCCGGACCTCTTCTGACACGGCGGCTGGAGCTTCCCACGGTTCGTCGGTGGTGGCGGGATCGACCGTCCGCAAATGCGGTGAGTCGCCGCCCACCAGGCGGGCCGCCTCCAGTTGCGACTGGAACAAGCCGCCCTTGGGGTCAATATCGCTGGTCAGGCAGGGTAGAGCGACCGCCAGGTCAAAACTCAAACTGGGAAACCGGACCACGACTTCCGCCAATGTTTCCAAATTGGGCCGCCAATCGTCCCCGGTACCCGATTCACCGTCCGCCAGGCAAGTTTGACGCAGTTCAACATGCCGGGCTCCCTGATCCTGGGCCCGGGCAATCAGGTCGCCCAAGCTGGTATCGTCAAGCTGATTTCGCCAGGAGTTGCTGATAGCCCCGAATTTCATCGTAACCTCCGCGGCCAGATAAATTGCTTTCAGGAAACTATACTCCAGCCAGAGTGAACCCTCAACCGTAGCCATTGATGACACTGCCGTGGTTGGCCTGATCAACCGCTATGTTAGAATTGCCGCACTCGAACACTCCACTAAATCAGGATCATCAGGAGGCGAAAATGGCCGAACTCTATAGCGAAAGATGCACCGCCTGCCGCCGCGATTCGCCCCACGTCACCGGCGATGAAATCTCCGAACTGCATCCCACGGTAGACGAATGGGATCTGATCGACGAATCCGGCATCCCCAAACTCGACCGGCAATTCAAGTTCAACAATTTCGTCAATGCGCTGGCGTTCACCAATGCCCTTGGCGAGTTGGCTGAAACCGAGGGACACCATCCGCGATTGACCACCGAATGGGGACGCGTGACCGTTACGTGGTGGACGCACAAAATCCGCAATCTGCATCGTAACGATTTCATTATGGCAGCCAAAACCGACCAACTTTATGGCCAATCCGCCGCGCACGCAGACTAGCGCCGGCACCTGCGACAGGCTGATTTGAGCCTTGGGTGTCCCGCAAACCGCGAGTTGAGATTCCGTTCCACTAGTTGGTTAATTCGGAATCTGCCCAATCGCCATCCGCCCCTTGATCCATCTATGGAGCACCAATGAGAGTCGTGTATTCCCTCAAATCCCGTGACCTGAACGGAGTCGCCGCCGAAGCCGCCTGGGCGGAATCGATCGGTTACGACGGAATCGCCACCAACGAAACCGCCCATGATCCGTTTCTGCCGCTGGCGGTTGCCGCCACCACCACCAGTCGTGTCACCCTGGAAACCCACGTCGCCATTGCATTTCCCCGTTCGCCCATGGTGCTGGCCCATACGGCCCGCGATCTGCAGGATTCCAGCAGCGGCAGGTTCCGCCTCGGTCTGGGCACCCAGGTGAAGGGACACATTGAACGCCGGTTTTCCACCCGTTGGGGTTCGCCGGGCCCACGCCTCCGAGAGTACGTTCAGTCCCTCAGGGCTATCTGGAATTGTTGGGATACCGGCAGCAATCTTGAATACGCCGGCGATTTCTACCAGTTCTCTCTCATGACGCCGTTTTTCAGCCCCGGGCCCAGCGAATACGCTCATCCTCAAGTTTTTACCGCTGCCGTCAACGGCTACAACTGCCTGGTAGCCGGGGAGTGCAGCGACGGTCTCATGCTCCACAGTCTCACTTCCCCTGAATACGTCCGGCAGGTGGTCAAACCCAACATATCCAAAGGAGCCCGACGCGCCGGCCGCGATCCGGGTGACATCTCCCTGGTCGGAGGTGGCTTCATAGTTACCGGGCCCAACCAAGCCGCCATCAGGGATCAAGAAGCGGAGACCAGGCGCCGGATCGCCTTTTACTCTTCCACTCGTACTTACTTCCCCGTTCTTGAATGCCACGGCTTTGAGGACATCGGCCGCCAGCTACACCAACTTTCTCTGGAAGGCAAATGGGAGGAGATGGGCGACCTTGTACCCGATGACATGCTGCACGCCTTTGCGATCATCGGTGAGTATGGCGATATCCCAGGCCTGTTCAAGGAGAAATACGGTGGTTTGGTCGATGAAATGCACTTTTCGATCCAGACCTCGAACGATGCTGAACAGGCACAGCTCCGCCGCATAGTTTCCCAACTCAAGGAGCAATAACCGCTGACGGGTCAACGAGATCGCCATTGGTCATGTTGTGCACAGAGATGCTGGACGCCGAGCGATTCAAACTGGCGAGTGAGTCTCAACTCACCTATCGGTTGAAATGGGCGGCATGGGAATGGCTCTATAGCGTCGCCGGTTGCCGAACCATTGCCTTCGAAGTCCGCCTGCACGGACCCTGGGGGCCCATCATAGACGTCGTAGCGGTCGGCCCGTCCAACACGGTTTACGCCGTAGAGGTCAAAACCAGCCGCTCGGATTTCGCCCGCGACAACAATACACCGGCTGACGTCGAACGCCTCCGCCGGAGTATGTGTTCGCTGGAACGCCGAATTTCGCTGGCCAATCAAACGTTGGTTCAGTCGAAGCAATCCGCAACCGGTGGAACAGATGACCGCTGGCAGGAAACTCCCGCCTATCGCACGGCTCTCGCCGACCTGGACCGCCTCACCACAGAGCAGGAACGGCTGCAGGAACGCCACGCTTGGTTATCAACCAAATTTCACGATCCCAGGTTTCTCGCTGCGGCCAATTTTCACTACATCATGGCGCCCCCCGGAGTGGTGCTCGCCGAGAGAGTCCCCACCCGTTGGGGCCTGCTGGAACCGACTCCCGGCGTGGTCGTCCCGGCGCCTCATCAAACCGTCCGACGCAACAGCGGGATTGTCGCCAACATATTTCGCTCCATAGCCAGGAGCAACACTACGTCTATGATGAGAGCCTACCGGGTCAAGCACACCGCCGGCGGTCCAGTGTTTCCCGATACCTGCTCCCATGCTTCGCCTAACCCACAGTAACTTGCAACACAAACCCGCTGGAGGAAATCGATGCCAGATATAGCCATAAATCCTCAAACCACCGCACTGCTGATCCAGGACATGCAAAACGAGTTGGTGAAAGGGAATGCAATGCCCGTCCAGCCGTTGACTGGAGCCGAGATCATCGCCAACGGCGCCCGCCTGCTGGAAGCGGCCCGTGCATCAGAAATGCCGGTTATCTACGTGAAGGTAACCCGGCGCGCTGATCGCCGCGATGCTCCCCGCCCTCCCTTCGGCGCGCCGGCTTCCGCCGCCGACGCTGGCCCTCGTCTGACCGAGGGCAGCGCTGACGCCGAGGTGGTATCAGAGCTTGCCCCGCTGCCTGGCGATCCGGTGATCGTCAAGCACACCACCAGCCCGTTCAATACCACCGACATTGAGGTTTTCCTGCGGCGATTCGGAATAACCACACTCATCCTCACTGGTTATTCAACGACCGGAGTTGTGGAGGGTTCGCTCCGCGATGCCCGAGATAAGGACTACGACTGCATCGTGGCCCGCGACTGCTGCGCTGCCGCGACCGTAGTGGAGCATGAGGTCTGCATGGACACCATTTTCCCAAGGATGGCCTGGGTCGCAAGTGCGGATGAGATCATCGCAGCCATAACCAGGTAACCGTCAGCGGTTCAACAGCCACCATTCATCGGTGCCAAGATTGAACTCGATGCGGCGGAACCCTTCAGCAAACGGAGTGCCGCATCGCTCACCCTGCATACGGCAACCTTCGGTCATGCGCTCCATGCGCTCTGCGGGGGTGCGGGTTCCCATCTGCGACACGTGTGCGCTGAGCGATTCGGCTTTCATCCGGATATGTTCCTCATTAATTTCGATGAACGTATCAGGCCGTTCTGATCCCCACAGCAACGCTTCCTTGACCTGGTGAGTTTCCAGGCCTTCGTCGGTAATCTGCTCCGGGAAATCCAGCCGGCTCCAGGCGTATGAAAACGCCGCGTCCAAGGCCACCTGCCCACTTCTGCGGTGGTCCCGGTGAGTGTGGGAAGTGACGCGGTACGGGTCGATGCAAAAGATGACCTCCGGCTTGTGCCGGCGGATTTCACGCACCACTTCTCCACGATACTTGAGAGTGTCTTCCAGTTCCCCGTCTCCGTAACGCAGGAACACCACCTCATCCACCCCCAAAAGGCGGGAAGCATTCTGTTGCTCGATTTCGCGGGTGGCGGCCAAGGACTCGGGAGTGAATGACTTGTCTCCGGTGCCTTTGTTGCCGTTGGTTGACATCAGCACAACCACGTGAGTTCCCGCTTCGGCAATCCAACGGGCCATGGCCGCCCCACATCCGCCTTCGGCGTCATCGGGGTGAGGAGTTACTACCAGCGCGCTGGATGGTATGTGTGTCATCAACCGGGGTGCGGGAGCATATTCCTGGGAAGCATATCCCCAGCCGTCAATTCCGTGCGGTCTGCTGGTCATTCCACCTCTCCGTTAAGCAGAACCCCCTCCGGAGCGGAGGGGGTTGGGTTTGAAACAGGGACAGTTCAGGCGCCAAGATGGAATACGACCATCTTCAATTCTGTCATCTCGTCAATGGCGTATGCCGGGCCTTCCTTGCCCATCCCGCTGTCTTTCAAGCCTCCATAAGGCATCACGTCAGCTCGCCACTGTGGGGATGCATTGATGTGCAGATTTCCGGAATGGACCTCCTGCGCGAACCGCATCGCCCAATCCACGTTCTGCGTGAATATTCCGGCGGAAAGCCCAAAGCGGGAATCGTTGGCTTTGGCGATTGCATCGTCAATGTCTTCGAATGCGCTGACGGCAATGGCCGGACCAAACAGTTCTTCCCTGGAAATCAGCATGTCAGGAAGCGCGTCGGCAATCACCGTCGCCGTGTGTAGCGTACCCTCGCGATCTCCGCCGGCGATGACTCTCGCCCCCTGACCCACTGCTTCCGCGATCCAACTCTCGACACGCTCGGCGTCGGCCTGACGGATCATGGGACCCATCTTTACGTCCTCGTCGAAGGGGTTGCCAGCGTTGAATTCCTGCGTGGGCCGCACCAGGGCATCCAGCAAGTCAGCATAAATCGCCCGGGCCGCAAACACCCGCTGCGTCGAGATACACACCTGACCGGCGTTGGAGAACCCGCTGGCGACAGTTGCTGCTGCGACCTTTTCTATATCGGCGTCCGACATGATGATGAGGGGGCTGTTGGACCCCAGCTCCATCGTTACCTTCTTGATACCGGCGTTTCGACAGATTCGGTCGCCGACTTCCATGCTTCCGGTAAAGGTAATCTTCCGGACTCTGGGATCCCCGGTGATCGCATCCCCCATCTCGCCGCCGGAGCCGGTAACCGTCTGAATCGCTTCCTCCGGCAATCCCGCTTCAAGCAAAATCTCGGTCAGTTTCAGCGCCGAAAGGGGTGTGTCTCCGGCCGGTTTCAAAATCACGGCGTTGCCTCCGGCCAGGGCCGGTCCCACCTTGTGGCACACCAAATTCAGCGGGAAGTTGAATGGGGCGATGGCCGCGACTACTCCCACCGGTACACGAATCGTAAAACCAAACTGACTTACGATGCCCGGAGCGGCATCCAGTGGTACGGTCTCACCGTGCAGTCGCTTTGATTCTTCAGCCGACAGCGTAATCGTTTGGATTGCACGCTGTACCTCGGCCCGTCCTTCTGCGATGACCTTCCCCTCTTCCCGGGTGATCGTCTCCGCCAGATCGTCGGCTTTCTCAGCCATGAGGTCCGCGGCCCGTTTCAATATCGTGTAACGCCGATGAGCAGGTAGCTTGGCCATTACGGATGCGCCGCGCACCGCACTGGATATTGCAGCATAAACATCAGCGGACGAGCCGCGTGGCACGGTATCAATCACCGACTGGTCGAAAGGATTTATCACGGACATTTTGTCGTCGCGATCAACCCACTCGCCGCAGATATACATCTTCATTTAGCGTTCTCCTTATTGCAATGCGGCGCTAATCCACCGCAGCCCCCGCTTCTGTGTCTTGAGATTGTACTACGCACCCACGATCGCAACCAAATCGACGTGAGAACCTGCGAACTCCCAACAATCGCGCCCACCCGAATTCTCGGACGCCAAGGCGTGAAAGCTACGCACCGATGGGCGGATCCCGGCGACCGTACCAATGCCCGGAATGCGGGCCGCCGGAAAATCGGAGGCGACCGCCAACTCATTCAGCGATGCGCACCGATTCGGTATGGTGCGCCCGGTCCGCTGAGGCTTAGGCCTAGACCTGATCCGGCGATTCAGCGGGCCTTGCCGGCTCCGTGGTGGTAACCGCGTTGGCGCCCTCTCCCAGCACGATGCTACGTCCGGTGTTGGTAACGCGGTAATGACCGGGTCTGCCGGGTATTCGTTCCAACCAGCGAAACTTGGTACGAGCCGCGTTCCGTAGCGTTTGCAGAAAGCTATGAGGTAGCGGCCAATGGGCCAGCGTAAACAATCTTGCCAACTCATCGGGGTCGACAGAATCGGTGTACAGGAATCGGGCCGATGCTTCAGCAGCCACTACTACGCGACGCATATCTCCCAACGGGCTGACCTTTTGGCAAAATCCTACGAATTCCTGCTCAGCGGGCGTTGACGGCTCAGAAGGGTAAACCGCCGTGATTCCGTCGGTTGCTTGATTTACTACGCCAGTAACTGGAGCCGACATTGCCCGCGGTGGAGCAACCGTCACCGGAACCTGCGGCACTGCTGCGGGACCGGGCGGCGCCGCATGCTGGTCAAACTCTGTCGCCCGGTGCGATACGGCTGCGGGTTCCACAGCGGCCTGCAACGTGCCGGGGGAAGCCCCTATTCCATCCACCGTACTCTCTGGAATGCTGACCGTATCGTCCCCATCGCCGATACCGTTAGGCAGAGGAGGATGGCCATTGATTGCCCCGTTGACGGCCGCCAAATCGTTGGCAACCGTCCCCAATTGAGGCAGGGTGAACCCCAAAACCTCACGAATCATATCGGGGTCATCAGCCTCGATGGACAACTGTGCGCTGTTGGGCAACGTGATGCTCAGCTTAATCATTCCCAGCAACCCCTGGCATCGGGCCCAGACCCGATTGTTGCCGGCAATAGTAATTTACCGCAGCAAAACAATGCAAGCAGGATGGCGTCGTTGCGTCGCGACAAATCAAACCCACTGTCCGGTCAGCCGATCCAGAGAATGAACCACGCGCCGGCGCTAAGGAAAATCAGAAACCCGAATATGTCCGTAAAGGTGGTTACGAATACCGCCGACGAAACCGCCGGGTCAACGCGCATTTTCCTCAGTATCAACGGCACGCCGGCTCCGGCTAGCGCTGCTACCAGTAAATTCCCCACCATTGCCACACCCAACGCCATTGCCAGCCCGATGCTTCCCTTCCAAACATAACCAATGACGCCGGCGACCAACGCCAACACAATCCCGTGCACCAGTCCTAACGCCAGCTCGCGACCCAACAGGCGCAACCCTGCGTTCATGGGAACCTCACCTATCGCCAGACCCCGGACCACCAGCGTAACCGTTTGAGTGCCGGCTATACCTCCCTGCCCGGCCACCACGGGCAAAAACACGGCCAGCATGGCAGCGGCGGAGATGGCCGCTTCGAAGACGCTGATCACTGCCGCTGCCAGCAACACCGTACCAAGATTCACAATCAACCAGGGCAACCGGTACAGAACCGACAAACCCACGGGACCGAACACCCGGTCGCCCGGCGCCGATGCGATTCGCAGCATGTCCTCCGTCGCTTCCTCGCCGGCTACGTTCATCATCTCTTCGGCCCGTATCACTCCCAATACCCGTTGCTCGGCGTCAACTACCGGGAGGATGCTCAACGTATACCGAGACATGATCCGGTGGGCTTGTTCCTGGTCGGTTTCCGGCGATATTGATACCAGCCGGTGGTCATATTGATCTGCCAACTCACCCGCCGTTCTCATCGGACGGGTCAGCGCCAGTTGAGCAATGCTGACGTATCCTGTCAAACGGCGATCGTTGTCCAGCACGCACACCCAGCTAAATCCCTCTGCGTCCTCGCCGAACAACCGGAGCGCATCCAGAGCCATGCCAGCCGTATCGTCCCGACGCACGTGGGGGAAATCGGGCGTCATCATGCCGCCGGCAGAATCCGACGGGTACTGCAGTAGCGCGACCACATCCTTAGGGCGTTGCAATTCCTCCACAATTGCCGAAGCCTGTTGATCGGACAATTCCTGCAGAATGTCGGCCACGGTGTGGGAATCAACGTCGTCGAGCAGATCAGCGGCCCGTTCGGCCGTCAGCTCCCGGGTGATGACAACCGCCGATTCCGTCGGCGCTTCGTCCAGGATGTCTGAAATCTCCACCAGCGTCAGCCAGGGCAGCAGCGCACGGCGCACATCGCCGGATGTCCGTTCCAGCAGAATACCCTGGTCGGCAGAAGGCAGGCGCCGCATCAATGCAGCGGCAGCTTCGGCGCCCTCTTCGTCCAGGGCTCGAAGCAACAGCTCGGCGAATTTTTCCGGCGTAAAAACGCCCAACCCTGCAATCGCGGTGGGCAGCGCGTCGCCCGAGACTGGATTGGGATCGGAGTCGGTCGGCATAGTCATCTAATCACTGGCAGGACCGACGTCCGAAGCGCCGGGCACTCTAAATGGTTTGTTTTAATCTTACAGCCAGCGAACGGGTCAGCCCTGGTACCGTGGCGATATCTTCAATGCTCGCCTCCCGAATTCCCTGGAGTGAACCAAACCGCCGCAACAGCATGCGTTTGCGTTTGGGACCGATGCCAGTAACCATATCTATGGGAGATTTCAGGCTTCCTTTGGACCGCAGGTTCCGATGGAAACTGATGGCGAAACGGTGCGCCTCATCCCTGATTCGCTGCATCAGGTACAGTGCCTGAGAATCCCTGGGCAACACGATAGATTCGGGCGTATGCGGCACGAATAATTCTTCGTTCTCTTTGGCCAACGAACACAGCGGGATATGCTGCAGTCCCAGATGCAACATAACCTCCTGGGCCGCCGAAAGGTGGCCTTTGCCCCCGTCGATGATAACCAGATCCGGGATTACTCCCCAAGCGCTCACTTTGCCTTCGGGGTCGGGATTCTTGATGGCCTCACCCAGCCGCTTGAACCGACGGGTTAACATCTCCTTCATACTGGCATAGTCGTCTACGCCTTCCACCGCCTTGATTTTGAACCGCCGATAATCTCGGCTCAACGGTTTGCCGCTATCGAACACCACCATACTGCCAACCAGGTTGCTCCCCTGGATGTGAGAAATGTCGTAACACTCCATCCGGCGGGGTAAAGCCGGCAGGCTCAACTCTTCTTCAAGTTCGGCCAACGCCCCCTGAATCGCGTCCGATCGGTTCAGCCACTTCACCCGGTGTTGCGCCAGGCCCTCTGCAGCATTTTCAGCAACCACCTGCATCAGCTTGCGGTTTTCTCCCCGCTGGGGACGCATTATTCGCACCGCACCGTTTCTTCTTTGTCTCAAAAAACCCTGCAACAGCGGGGCATCATCGTCAGGTGGGTCGTGTTGCACCAGAATAGTGGGAGGCACCTCCAGGGCTGTGGCGTAGAACTGCTGCACGAACTGCGCGATGACTTCACCGGGCTCGTCATCCTGCGGGCCATCCATGAAAAAGTGATCCCGACCGATGAGTTTCCCCCGACGCACGAAAAATATCTCTACCCACGTTTCGTTGGCAGCCATCGCTAACGCGATCACGTCCAGGTCGGTCATCCGCGGCGAGTCGACCTTTACAGTGCGTTCTTCTTCGAATTTCTGGATCGCCGCAACCTGATCGCGCAACGCCGCCGCACGTTCAAATTCCAGTTGATCCGCAGCTTCGGCCATCTTGCCTCGAAGCTGCCCGGTCACCAGCTCGGTGTTCCCCTCCAGAAAGAGGATGACGTGCTGCACGACATCCGCATATTCCTCGCGGCTGGCCAATCCGGCGCAGGGACCAACACAACGGTTAATGTAGTATTCGAGGCATGGCCGGGGGTCGGTGCCTGTTATCTTTTTAGTGCAGGAGCGGTACGGAAACAGCTTCTTCACCAAATCCATCGACTGACGCACGCTCCCTGCGCTGGCGAAGGGTCCAAAATACCGCGCCCCATCCTGGTGAACGCCTCTGGTAATGTAAACCCGCGGGAACTCTTCGGCGAGGTCGACCTTGAGGTACGGGTAAGTTTTATCGTCCTTCAACCGCACATTGAAGTAGGGCCGGTGTCGTTTGATCAGTGTATTTTCAAGTATCAGCGCCTCGGCTTCAGTGTCCGTTACGATGTACTCGTAATCCGCCAGCTCGCTGACCATTCGGCGCGTTTTCCGATCCAGGCCGGCCGGTGAGCCGAAGTAGGACCGCAATCTATTGCGCAGCACCGCGGCCTTGCCAACATAGATGACCGCGCCCCGGGCGTTTTTCATCAGGTAAACGCCGGGGCGCTCCGGGGTCACCAATAGACGGTGATCAAATTCGTGGCGTTCCATCGCCCGTCCCTGTGCTGCCTATATGACGAAGGAAACTGCTATCAAGATCACCAGCGATACCCCGGAGAATATGCCAATGCGCATCAATTCAGACCCAACGTGGTTATACGCCGCTGGTCGCTCCGACCGCCTTCCCCTGGGCTGGGCGGACGCACGATTGTTGACTTGGGGGGACGGCGCCGCCGGGTTCGCAACCGCACCATTACCCGGTGCATTACCCGTGACAGTTGCTCCGCTACCATCAACGGAGCCAGTGGGTGACGCCATGGGGCCGCCGCCCGCACGGGCCGTCGCCTCCACCGGCATCGCCGGCTGGCGGTTGCCGGTTCCCCGTCTTCGGCGAAGACTGTTTTGGCGAGCCGCTACTCGTTTACCTTTGCTCGGCATTGCTGCCCTCCATGCGTCGTCGACCGAAATACCAGGCTGGTCGGCGTACTCATGCAATCTGAACTGTATTATAGATGTCGATGCCGGTTAACCAACTCGTCATCTGCTTATCATGATACCAGCAAACGATGCACAATTGGCGAGGCTCGCCGAAACGATTTATGTCAAATTCACGAACCCGTGCCTGCAATCGTCGTCGACCCTGGCCTCGTTTTCACGTCATGCTCTTGGATGGCTTCGCTCGTACTCCGCCCGGACGTGGGGATCGGTAAGGTGCGTATAAACCTGCGTCGTGGAAATGCTGGAATGTCCCAACAACTCCTGTACGTGGCGCAGGGACGCACCGTTCTGCAATAAATGGGTCGCAAAAGCTATGACGAAGTGTGTGCGGCGTAATATTGGGGTCGATACCGGCTTTTTTCGCCGAGGTTTTCAGAATGTTCCACACCCATTGGCGCGTCAGCCTCTCACCTCGCTGGTTCACGTACATGGCGGTCTGACCCCGTTTCTGCTCCAACAACGCCACCCTGGCGCCGCCAACATATACGCGAAGATTGGCTAGCGCTTCCGGGTATAGGTACACGATGCGTTCTTTCGAACCCTTGCCCCAGGTTCGGATGAACCCCTCTTCGAAGTTTATGTCCTGCACATTCAGCGCAACCAGTTCGCTGACGCGTAAACCGGTCGCGTACAGCAGCTCCAGGATGCTGGCGTCGCGTCGCCCTTCCGGAGTGCCGGTATCGGCTGCAGTCTCCAGCAGTTGTCGTATATCAGCCTCGGAAATGAACCTGGGGATTGACCGGCCCACTCGAAGCGACCCGAGGTTTGCAGTGGGGTCTTCGCTAATGAAACCGTTGGAGCTCAAATAGCCAAAACGAACGCACCGCCGCTACTTTGCGGGCGGTGGTTGTATCACGATAATGCCGGTTATCGCGCAGGTCCGTGATATAGGCGTTCAGCAGGTCGATATCCACCAATCTCCAAACTTCCGGATTACCGTCAGATTCCAGGTTGTCAGTGACGAATTCTCTAAATTGGTTGAGATCGTTGCTATAAGCGCTGAGCGTGTTTTGGGTCAATCCCTTCTCCACCACCAAATGTTGTAAAAAGGAATTTACAATTTGCTTCATGGTCACCACCAGTTCCTGAGTAACGGGCAAAGGTAGTGTTCGGGCCACACTTTGCCCTTATGGCCTGGGATTACCCGATGCGATACAGTCGGCCAGAGTTTTGGTTATATTCTTATATGACGGTTAATAACGGCACTTTTGGCTGGGTGCGAGATTTTGCCATTTTTGTCACTTACCCCCGGTTACGACTATCGTTGACGTTTGGATGTCTTCCTGTCGAACATGTTCGGGAGTATTCGCTACGGCGCGCTATGGCCACAACCACTCGAACAGCCCAACCGACGCAACCGTGATGATCGCCCCGTGCAACACGAGACTCACGACAATTGACACCAGTAACGCCCGGCGCGGCATCCCAAGCGTCTCGAGGGCTACCGTCGTTGCGTAAACCCCCGCCCATGGCGTAATAATGATCACGCCCCAAATGCCCCAACGCTTTACGATAATCGTCAACCGCCCGCTGCGGCGCCTCAATATCCAGGTGGCGGCCAACCGCAAAACGCGTGGGCGCAACGACAATATAATCCTCACCACCCTGGTTCCGCGCTCGGCCCGCCAGAACAACCACGAGATCACCAACGCCGGCAGGGAATTGAATATCACCGCGACCACTGCCACCAGCATGGCATTCAGCCCCAGTCCCACTCCCAGCGGTATGGACACCAGTTCCTCGCCGACAGGCGACATAGAAACCAGAGCTACAGCGATAAATTTTGCGAACAGCGCACTCAAGCGAGAATACCCATGTCAAGTCGCCCGGCCATCAGAATCGGACAAACGGGCCGATATCTCCCCAACTGCCCGATAGCCGGTTTGGGATACAATCGTGGGCCACGCCTGCCGACACTCCCAAAAAATATTTCAACCCTGAGTAAACGCATTTGAAAATCCTTTTGCTTATCGGACAGCAAGCTGGAAGCCAGTCCACATCTGTCCCGTTTTGGGCTTATCTGGATACGTGGATAATCTCGGGCCTGGTGTTGTTGGCTGTTGTCGTCGCGGTGGCCAAATGGTTGTGGGGGCGCTTTACACGCGATGACGCTGAATACGACTCGGTCTACGAGGATGATTACTATCCGGACGAGTGCTGAACCGGCCTCCGGATATCGTTCGCCCTTTTGCCTTTCAACTTGCAAACCGATATAGTGTTTCCGCTTTCAGCCATCCAGTCGGCGAAGGCCTATTGCCAAGGCGACTTCAGGAGGACCACCTTGTATCAAACCGTGAGCGAAGCAACGTTGAAGGCGTTGTCGCGTATCGACTCACCCAGCATTTGCAACGCGATTGAGGGTTTCGATTTCCGACCGAAGAACACTGGTTTCATGCTACCGGAAATCCAGACTGTCTTTCAGGAATTCGCACCCATCGTAGGTTACGCCGTGACCGGTGTAATTTCCGCCAACCGTCCCGAGGGCCACAGCGTATCTCGCGAAGATTGGTGGGACCTGATCGTGTCCGTTCCCGAACCGCGTTTCATCGTGCTCCACGACATCGACAACCCGCCGTTGGGCGCTTACTGGGGTGAAGTTCAATCCAATATTCACAAGGCGCTTGGTGCATTGGCAGTCGCAACCGACGGCACCGTCCGCGACCTGGACGAGGTGCGGGAACTCGGATTCCAATTCTTCGCCAAACACGTTTCGGTTTCCCACGCCTACGTTCACATGGTGGACATGGGCATCCCGGTCGAGGTGGGAGGCCTGACGGTTTCCACGGGTGACCTGCTCCACGGAGACAAACACGGCGTCACCAATATTCCCTTCGAATTGGCCGATCGTATTCCCGACATGGTCGCCACCATCGCCGACTACGAACAAAAAACCATCGGGTTGTGCCAGTCTCCAGACTTCACACTGGAAGCACTGAAAGAAGTCGCAAAAATCACTCGCCCATACTGATTGAAATGAAAATCGACCTTAAACTGATTAAAACAATATTGGCGGTAACCGTCGTTTCACTCTTCCTCGGCGGCTGCAGTTTGATCAGCAACCCGCTGGCGGAATCGCCTGAACCCTCCGGTGTCAATTCTCCGACCACGGCAGCTACGTCCGGCGAAACCTCCGCTCCAGGGAGCCCGATGCCACCGCAACAGGCACAACCCGCGGCGGGCGCTTCGCAATCTGGCGCCGCCTCTCAGGTCAACCCGGCGGTTGATGCCAACGCACCCAACCCCAGGACACCCACCACAATGGTCCTGAACGGACGCTCGATCAAGCAATGGCCGGCTCCACCACCCATGTTGATCGATCCGTCCGCTCCATACACTGCGATTATCAACACGGCCGCCGGAGCGATAACGGTGGAATTGCAAACCCAGCAGACACCGAACACGGTAAACAACTTCGTATTTCTGGCACGAGAAGGTTTTTACAACAACGTGACATTCCACCGGACCCTGCCTGAGTTCATGATCCAGGGTGGGGATCCCACGGGTACCGGCGCCGGCCACCCGGGGTATCGATTCGCCGACGAACCCTTCTCAGGCGAATACCGGCGCGGCGTTATCGCCATGGCCAACTCGGGGCCCAACACCAACGGCAGCCAATTTTTTCTGATGCACGCCGATTACGGGTTGCCCGCGAATTACACGATTTTCGGGCGGGCAATCTCCGGAATGGACGTTATCGACACCATCGCGACGGCTCCCACAATACCGGGCCCCACGGGTGAAAATTCTAAGCCGGTTAACCCGATTACTATTCAGTCCATCGAGATCTTCGGCCCGTAGGACTGGCCTCAGCGTAAAGATCATGGCATTCCAGGAACTCCTGTACGACGAATCCGACGGGATCGGCTACCTCACCCTGCATCGTCCCGAAAAGCTCAACGCCCTCAGCCAAACCATGATAGCTGAGTTCCGTGAGGCTTTGGAGGGCATCGAAGCCAACCCTGACGTCCGCGTCCTCATACTCACCGGTTCGGGCCGAGCATTCTCCGCCGGATTCGACATTGAATCGGAGGGGACCGGGGGACCGGGCGGTGAACCGTTGTCTGTGGATGGCCGGCGTTCCCGTCTGAAGGCCACCATCGACACCTTTCTGATGGTTTGGAATTTGAGCAAGCCCGTCATAGCCGCCGTCAACGGTTATGCCCTGGGCGGAGCCTGCGAGCTCGTCCAAGTTTGCGACGTTAAGATTGCCTCAGACCGCGCCATGCTGGGCGAACCGGAAATCCGCCTGGGCTACGGCGCTCCGTTCCTGATGACTCCCTACTCAGTCAATCTGGCCATGGCCAAAGAGATGATGCTCACCGGGGACACGATCGACGCCTACGAAGCAGCCCGCATTGGCATGGTCAACCGCGTCGTGCCCCACGACACCCTCATGGATGAATGCCGGCGAGTCGCCAATAAAATGCGCAATATCCCGGCCATCGGCATCAAAACCACCAAATTGTCCATCAATCGCGCCCTGGAATCTGCCGGATTCATTTCGGCATTGCACCACAATCTTGAACTGATGACCCAGTTCGACACCGCCTCAACCCCCGAACAGGCCGAATTCAGCCGGGTACGCGCGGAAAGCGGACTGCGGGCCGCCCTGGAATGGAGCCGCGCCCGTTTTCAGGGCCTTTAGGCGAGTTGGCACGCCAGTAAAATCAACGCAGAACTACCTTCAACGCTGGACAACCAGGTAGGGGAGTATCAGTTGATACTCCCCTACCTGGTTCTGGCACGTTGTCCGGTACTTGCCCTAACCGCCGCGGGTTACCTCCACGCCAGCCAATTTCTCGATGAAATGCAAAATGGCCGAGTGGTCAGATTCCTGGTCGCCGTCGTTGATCAGCGAACCCAACATCTGTTGTACCAGCGCAGTGACCGGCAGTGGTACGTTCAGTTCGCCCGCTGTTTGCAGCACGTTTCGAAGGTCCTTCTGGTGCAGCCGCACACGGAAACCCGCCCTGAAATTGCGGTCCAGCATCATCGGGAGCTTTGGCTTCCATCACGGCGCTCCCGGCCAATCCACCGCGTATCGCGTTGAACACCCGCTCCGGGTCCACGCCCGCTTTCTGCGTCAAAACCAGGGCCTCGCTCAGCGCCTCAATGTTGGCAGCCACGATTATCTGATTGGCCAACTTGGTGATATTTCCAGCGCCAATGTCCCCGGTCAATACTACGTTCCCGCCCATTACCTGAAGCAAGGGTTCGCAGTCGTCGAATACCGACTGCTTGCCGCCCACCATGATGGCCAGGGTGCCGGCGATGGCTCCCGGTTCCCCGCCGCTCACGGGCGCATCCAGGAATTCCACGCCTTTGTCGGCGCAGGCCACACCAATTTTTTGCGACATGGACGGCGCGATGCTGCTCATGTCTATGATTACCGAGCCTGGCGCCGCTCCCTCCAGAACTCCATCCGGCCCCAGGATCGCACGCTCCGAATCAGCAGAGTCCGGCAGCATGGTGATGGTTCTGACGTTGTTGACCGTGGCCTCCCGGGGCGACGACGACGCGGACGCGCCTTCGGTCGCCAACTCTTCCACCGGTCCCCCACTATGTCGTAGACCGTGAGCTCGTATCCTGCCGCCATCAAATTGCGAGCCATCGGCTTTCCCATTATCCCAAGCCCAACGAATCCGATCTTCTCTGCCATTCTGCATCCTCCGTCTTTGGCCGGCCCGAGGCCGGCCCATCAGGTTACTAAATTTGTGTGTCGCCGAGCTTGCCCGGAAACCCTGTATCGAGAACGCATTATACCTGCCACCAGGCTCCTCAATCTCGAACATGTTCCGCGGCCGCCAAACCGCGACCCGAATCACCATGATGATCCAGGGTGAAGTTTCAGTACAGCACCATTGCTGAGTCCACGGTGGCAGGAGAACTCATCATGGTTGACTTGGCAAGATCACACAAACTCCCCGTCGCCACTTCAGGGTGCCCCATTAAATTCGTCAACATGCTGACCTTCGCGTCCTCAGCTACCCCTCGGCCCAGCAATTTCTCGCACACTTCGGACCAGGCGCCACTTTCATCAGCTCCGAGGATCACCACGGCGCGGCCGGTCACCGAATCCAGCAAGTTGCCGTCACGGGCCTGGTTGACCGAAGTGCACACTGCTGCCAGCGGCGATATGCCCAACTGCGCCAATACCAGGCGATAGAACCCCGGCGCCGGAATCAACGATACCGCGTCTACTTCTTCTTGCAATCGATGTAAAAGGCCCGGTACCGATTCAGCCGGATCGCCCAGCGTGACCACCATGGTCCACAGGCCGGCCCGGGTATCCCTACCGATCCGGTTAACGAGTTCATTCGCATTGTCGGATCGCATCGGCAGTTCGACTCCCCGACTCCATCTTCGAGCCAACGAAATTGCTGACTCAGAACCCACCACGTAGTCAGCATTGGCCAGCATCTGCCTGGTTTGATCAGGAATCGCGTCGGGATCGCCGGTTCCCAAACCGGCGACGGTGACAGCCCGCTCCATGGATCGGAAAGCGGCCACGTATTTTCTGGTTTCCACGACCTGTCGAGCATGGTTACCTTCGTGGCCGGAAACCCGTTCCACGAGGTCCAGGAATGACAGGGCAGGGAAATTGTTCTCGGGGTTGGGAGGCGTCGCCGGTCGGTTCAACTGTTCCTCGGTCAATCCGGATAACAGGCGTCGGAAACGCTGGTAGTTGGCTTCCAGGCGAGCGATGTCATTGGCAATCCGGTTGGCCCGCCCGTCAAATGCCGGCAGCATTTCGCGCTCGCCCGTTGCTATCTGCTCCAGGGCATCTACGAAATCCTCCGTCAGAAGATGTTGCATCACTTCCCAAACTGACCATCTGGAACCCAGAAAAGCATCCGTTTCGCCCAAATCCGCCAACGCCTCCAACAGGGCCGCGTGTCCATCGTCAAGACGCCGCAACACCCGCTGCCGGCGCTCCAGAATATTAAGCGAATCGGCATCGGGCCGAAAATCGTGGGACACCATGTCAATCACCTGAATTTCGTGGTTTTGCAGTAGTGGCACATTATGGCACACGCGAAAACGCCCGTCAGTCGTTTATCCCGTTAAGCCGGGTACGGTATCATTAGGCATGGCTGATACCAATGAGAACGTGATTCCAGAATTCAGAGCGGGCCAGCCGGTGTCTGTGTCCAGGATGTCTCAGACGCTGGATGCCATCAAAAACGCCACCGGCGCTGCCACCGTAACCGGCGCCCTGTATTCTCCACCAATACAAAACGAAGATCGGTTCGTCGCTGAGCTGTCTGGCCGGACGGGTGGTTCCCAATGGGTGGAGGCGCTGAAACTCGCCGACAGTCGGGTGTTGCGGTCGCCGACCGGAGTCGCGGCATTCCGCATCGATAACGTGGGCCTGGCTGTTCATCCACCGTTTCCCCTGCATGATGACAGGGTCACCGACGAGATGGACGACAACCCCTTACGATCCTTGCTGTCCGCTCAATATTTGGTGGGCGTAGCGATGGTCAGGCTCGGCCGCTACGCTGTTGGGGTATACCACGGTGAGCGATTGATCGTCTCCAAAACGGATACGCGGTACGTCAAGGGCAAGCATCACGCCGGCGGAACATCCCAACGCCGGTTTCAGCGTGTTCGGGAAAATCAGATTCACCGGTTGTATGTCGAGGCGGCGCAGGTAGTTCAAAAACAATGGAATCCCTATCTCGACCGCCTGGACTACGTGATGTTGGGCGGCGAGGCCAGCACCGTTAACGGTTTCGTCAAAGAATGTGCATTGCTGGGGCAATTGGCGCCCATCACGCTGCAGCGTCGGCTGGACGTGAGAGAGCCCAATCGGGCGTCCCTGGACGATGTGAGCAAAATGCTCTACCAATGGCGGGTATATCCGCTGCGCTGGCCCGAATAATTGGCGGCTCCATACTGGTTCCGATTTACCATCTGACCGCGGTGCCTATCCTGCGCAACCCCGGTATAATGCCGCTATGATGGACGCCGATGAACAAACCCTCCCACCCGACGGAGGGTTTGCACGCGCACTCGACCTGCTGGAATTCGACCAGATTCGTCAGCAGTTGGCTGGCGCCACCCGCACCGCAGTGGGAGCAGAAACCGCCGCCACGTTGACGCCCTCCGGAGACTCTCGCGACGTGGCGATGCGCCAGCAGGAAACCACCGAAGGCCGACGGTTGCTGGAAACCACCGGGGCCCTCGAACTTGGACCTCAGGACGATCTGCGCCCCGCCATCCATCGGGCAGCGCTGGGAGGGTTGTTGCGCGGTGAGGAACTCCGCAGCGTTGGTACGTTGGTGGGAGCCGCGCGTTGGAACCGCAACACCCTGGGTCGACGCGAAGATCTGCCTTTGCTGGCAGCATTGGCACAGGGTCTCCCTGACCTGCCGGACATCGAAAGCGTCGTGAATCGGGCCATTGGCGCCGGCGGCGAGATATTGGACGACGCGTCTCCTGAACTTTACCGACTGCGCCGGGAATCCCGGTCAGTCCATTCATCGTTGAACGACATCATGCAGCGATCCCTGCGTCGGTTTCAAAGTGCGGGGGTGATTCAGGAGAACATCGTAACCGAACGCAACGGCCGCATGGTGCTGCTGGTCAAAAACGACTTCAAGGGTCAAGCCCCCGGTATCGTGCACGACGTCTCCGACAGCGGCGCTACCGTTTTTATCGAACCGATGGCGGCAATCGATTTGGGCAACCGGTGGCGGGAAACGCGCTTGGCTGAACAACGGGAAGAAGAGCGCGTGCTGCGCCAGTTATCTTCGTTGATTGCCAGCTGCAACGATGACATCTCCCTAACGATACAGTTGTTGGGCCAGTTGGATGTGGCTATCGCCAAGGGGCGCCACGCCATTTCTCTCCGCGCGATAACCCCCTCCATGGCGTCTTCCGATGATCCGCGCCGTTTGCAAATGAAAGGCGCGCGCCATCCCCTGCTGACTGGTCGGGTGGTGCCCACTAACGTCGCTATCGATGTCGGGCAATGTGTGCTACTGATCACGGGACCCAACGCCGGCGGCAAAACGGTGGCGCTGAAAACGGTCGGGCTCCTTGCGATGATGGCCCACGCGGGATTGCAGGTGCCCGCGGATGACGCCGAGATTCCCGTCCTGGACGGCATCTACGCTGATATCGGAGACCAGCAGAGCATATTTGAATCGCTGTCCACTTTCAGCAGCCACATCAGGAACTTGCGCGAGGTTCTGGCGCTGGCAACTCCGCGGTCTTTGATTCTCATCGATGAATTGGGTTCCGCGACCGACCCTGAAGAGGGGTCTGCGCTGGCCGCCGCGCTGTTGTCCGAGTTTCGTGACCGCGACATCATGGTCGTGGCAACAACACACCACCGCAACGTGGCCCGCCTGGCCCAGGACCAGATCGGCATGGTAAACGCCAGCGTCGACCTGAATCCGCGCACTCTCGAACCCACCTACCAATTGACCAATGGTGTGCCGGGTCGCAGCTACGCGCTCATAATCGCGTCGCGACTGGGGTTGCCTGAATCCGTAATAACAACGGCCGAAACCCACCTGGAACCCAGCCACATCCAAACAGACCAGCTGCTCCAGGAACTTCAGGAAGAGCGGCTCGCCGTCGCCGAACTACGCAACCAGGCAGAACAATTCCTTCTGGAGGCCCGTCAACGGCAAGAGGAAGCCGAGCAGCGACTCAGCGTGATAGAAGACACCAAAGCCGAATTGGTAGGAGAAGCCCGGCGCGCGCTAACGGAGCAAATCGGCCAGCTGATGAACCAGATCAGGCAGGCCGAACGATCGCTACAACGGCAGCAGGCTGACCAAGCCGCCGAAGGTAGTTTGCGTCTGGAGCGCCAGAAACTCGCCCAGGCCCGGCGCGAAGTTGCTTCGCCCGCCTGGAACCCGATCCCCGTGGAGCGGCCACCCTGGTATGCCGACCTGCGGGTTGGCGATCGAGTGTATATCAGTGGTGTCGCTCGTCCGGTGGAGGTCGTCACAGCCCCCGGCGAACAACGGGAGGTCGAAGTCGTGATCGGCAGTATGCGCGCGCGAATCCCGGTCTACCAGCTTGATCGACCCGCGGAACGCTTGCACCCGGCCGCCGAACGCGCCGGAGTCGTTTACCGTCGCCCCGAAAACAAACGCACGTTGAGCCCGGAAGTAAATCTGCATGGATACCGTGTCGATGAAGCCCTGACCGTTATCGATTCGCTGCTTGACGATGCGGCGCTGGAGGGAATGACGTCGGTTAAAATTGTCCACGGTAAAGGCACTGGCGCTTTACGCCGGGCCATCCGGGAGTACCTATCCGGACACCCGCTGGTAGCATCCACCGAGCCCGGCGAAGGCGGCGCCGCCAGCGGTGTAACGGTGGTGCAGCTCCAATAACGCTCTGTCTATTGACCAATCCGCTGACCAAACCGCGGAGCAGAACCGCATGCTGGTACGAATTACGTAATCAATTCGGCTCCGGTTGACAGCCAAACTGCAGCCACGCAAAATATCGACACACTATCCGCTGACTACACACCCATCCCACAGGCACATTACTGAAGAAGGTGAAGAAATGGCAGAAATCCTGGGCCTTGGCCTCACTCACTACCCGCCTCTGATCGCGCCCGATGAAGACAAACTGATTCCGTTGAAGCGCACCTTGCGCACCAACCAAACCTGCCCGCCGAGATGAAAAATCCCAGCAACTGGCCCGAACCCATGCGTGTCGAATACGGTGAGGATGAAGGGTATGCGTCTTCTCTCGAACATCGCGCCCGCCTGGTGGCCGGTTTTCGGCGCATTCGTGAAGAGCTGGATGCCTTCAACCCCGATTTCGTGGTCATCTGGGGCGACGATCAGTATGAAAACTTCCGAGAGGACATCATCCCTCCGTTCTGCGTCCTGGCCTACGACGATTTCGAGTGCCACCCATTCACCAACCGCGATGGATCGCCTCGCCGCAATGTATGGGGCGAAGCCGCCGATTCCACCTTCAATTACCGCGGACACAAGAACGGTGCACGGGAGCTGGTTTCCGGCATGATCGACCGAGGCGTCGACATGGCCTACGCCTACAAACCCCTACACCAGCCGGGTCTGGGACATGCCATCCTGAACACCCTGCTCTATCTGGATTACGACCGCAAGGGATTCGACTACCCCGTAGTCCCGTTCCTGGTCAACTGCTACGGCAGCCGGGTCATCCGGAACAAAGGCGGCAGTGTTGAATATTCACCCGACCCCGATCCGCCCGGTCCTTCCCCCAAACGCTGCCTGGAAGTGGGAGCCGCCGCCGCCCAGGCGATGAAAGAATCACCCTGGCGGGTTGCGCTCATCGCGTCTTCGTCATGGTCTCACGGATTCCTTGTCGAGAAAAATCATTGGATGTGGCCCGATGTCGAATCCGACCGCGCCCGCTTTGAGGAACTGCAGGCCGGCGATTACCAGGCTTGGAGTCGCATCTCCACCGCCCAGGTCGAAGACGCCGGGCAGCAGGAAATGCTCAATTGGATGTGCCTCGCCGGCGCCATGGACACCCTGGAATACAAACCGGAGATACTGGACTACGTAGAGACTTACGTGTTCAACTCCAACAAGTGCCTGGCAATCTTCAAATAGTCCACCCACGTCAACCCATCGCTGACTCCGGGGCGACGCCGGAGTCGCTCCCGTTCATTTCTCATTTGCATCAAGGAGCGCGAACATGGCCGAAATACTTGGTTTGGGACTCACCCACTCGCCGTCGTTGATCCGCCCCGACGAAGATGGGGAGTCATCGCTGAAACGCACGCTGCGAACCAACGACCGGGTGCCGGCTGAGATGAAAAACCCCAGCAACTGGCCTGAACCCATGCGCGTCGAATACGGGGAAGACGAGGGTTACGCCTCGGCGGTTCGGTTACGCGAGCGGATGGTGGCCGGTTTCCGGCGCCTCAGGCAGGAACTGGATGCGTTCAATCCAGACTTCGTGGTTATCTGGGGCGACGACCAGTACGAGAATTTCCGGGAAGACATCATTCCTCCCTTCTGCGTCCTCGCCTACGACGAGTTCAACTGCCAACCTTTCGCCAACGGCGACGGTTCTACCCGACGCAACGTATGGGACGAATCGGCCGACACTACCTTCAACTTCCAGGGACACAAAAACGGCGCGCGCGCCCTGGTATCCGGGATGATCGACCGTGGCATTGACATGTCCTACGCCTACCAGCCTCTCCACGAACCTGGCCTGGGACACGCGATATTGAACACCCTTCTCTACCTCGACTACGACCGCAAGGGCTTTGACTACCCAGTGGTTCCGTTCCTGGTTAATTGCTACGGCAGCCGCGTCATTCGGAACAAGGGTGGCAGCGTCGAATATTCCCCCGATCCGGATCCGCCCAGCCCCTCGCCCAAGCGATGCCTCGAAGTTGGAGCAGCAGCAGCCCAGGCCCTCAAAGAGTCACCATGGCGGGTCGCCTTGATCGCATCTTCTTCCTGGTCTCACGCCTTCCTCACCGAGAAAAACTACTGGCTATACCCCGACATCGTGTCGGATCGTGCCCGCTTCGAGGAAATGAAAGACGGGGACTACCAGGCCTGGTCCCGCATCTCGACCGCCCAGGTGGAGGACGCGGGTCAACAGGAACTGCTCAACTGGATGTGCCTCGCCGGCGCTATGGACACCCTGCAATACCAGGCCCAAATCGTGGACTGGTATGAGACTTACATTTTCAACTCCACAAAATGCCTGGCCATCTTCAAGTAGCGAGGACGCGATCCGGTTAAAGCATGGGGGCGACCAATTGGCCGCCCCCATGCTTTTTGTCTCGGCAAGTATGGCCGCGCAATCGTGCCGCAGGCCACGCCGACATAGCCTAGTCGTCCGCGATAACCGGCTCATCGATCAACTGAACTCCCGAGCCTAGGATGTCGAAATCGTATTCCTGGTCGGGCGCCACTATCCGTTGGAGCACCACTACCGCCGCGGATATCGCGGACGATACCACCAGGGCGGACGCGAAGGCCCAGAACATCTGTCCGCCGGTTGGTGCGGGAATCGCCCACGGCGATATCAGATCCGGTTCCGGGTAGAACAGCGCGCCGATGATGATTCCCGCGCCGCCCGCGACAAGAACCGCCCACCCGGGCATTCGCCTGGAGTACAGACCCACCAGCATCGGCACCGCGATTGCCGCACCCAGCAGGTCGGCGATCAAGAACACGTACAGTACGCTCAACCCCTGGGTTGCCACGATTATTCCCGGTATTGCTACCACCGCCGTTACAACGCGGGCCAGCGTCATCAGCGTGCCGCGCTGGATGCCCATACCGGCCAGGTCGGTAGCGATCCCGCTGGCCAACCCGTTCATCATCGTGTCCAGAGTGCTCATGGCCAGCATCAAAGCGCATACCAGCATCAGAAAGTGCATCCATAGCGGGAATACGTCAGATGCCAGCGCGAACAAAGACGCCGCAACGGCGGGATATTCAAACGGCGCAACCGAACCGTTTCCCACCGCCGCGATGCCCGCCATGCCCATCAGGAACGTAATCGGTATGGCCAGCGCGGTCGCTCCCCACAGGCTCCGGTTGAGGGATCGTTGGCTCTCCACCGTATAAACCCGCTGCCACATTCCCGGGTGGAAGGCGTTTGAGGCCACGATGCCGATTATCAACACGATCCCGAAGAAGTAACTGCCGGAAGAACTCACCGACAGCAACCCCGCCTGTTTCGCCGCTCCCCATGCTCCGGTGTCTCCGAGCATTACTGCTGCTACGATTACTAACAGTAGCAAAACGGGAATCAGCACCCAGAACTGGATGCGATCAGTGTAAATGGATACTCGCAGGCCACCGTAAGCCGTGTATGCCACCACCACCACGCCCACCGCCACCGCTGTGGCCCATGCCGGCGATCCGGTCAGGATGCTCACCGCCGCCGTGATCGCCGTCATCTCGGCCGTAATGAATATGCCCATCACGAATATGATCACCAAGGAGATAGCAACGAAGGGGATTGTGCCGAAACGGTGTTTCACGTACTCCGTCACCGAGTGACCGTTGGGCATCAACTGTCGGATTCTGGGCCCGACGAACATGAACATTACCGGAATCCCTGCCATGCCCAGCGCATACCCCACCAGTGAAACGATACCGAAGTTCGCTCCCGACTCGCCGGGGCTGAGCAGTACCCAGGTTCCGAACATCGAAGCCACCAGCGTCGCCACGCCCACGTTAACAGGAGCGTGATTGCGCGAGATGGTGTAATCCTCCACGCTTTGGCGACGTCGGCCTACGTAAGTAACACCCAGAAACAAAAATGTAGCGCACACGAGCACTAATGTCGCGATTCCGACTCCGGTATCCAGCATAGTAGTCTCCTCGTTGGGTCTCCAAACCGGCGGCCATGCACCGCCAATGAAAAAACCGCCAGGTTGCAAATCTCTGGCGGTCGTAAATGCTGTCTCTGATCCCTACGCCGGCATTATCCGGATCAGGTACTACGGTCGGTGGTTTTCACGGCCACCCTCTCAGCCTAGCGTAACCAGGCTCCCGCCAAAGTTCTTATTCAGTTTGTAAGCCGAAACTACCACAATGCGCCCCACCGGTCAATGCTCAATAATGAACGCAACCTTTCATTGATGCTCCGCCTCCTAAAAAAACCCGCTTTGATACGTTGTAATCCCACTCCAGGAACATCTCCAGATGGGCGAGCATCTGGCCGGTTACGCTAACCCTCAACCATGAACAATGCTTACCCGGCGCTCCGGTTGCGCCGATGCTACCCCGCTGATAATCTGTTTGAGCCATGTTCTCGATTTTCAAGCGAAACCGGACCGACACCAACCGACAGCAAACCGACGCCGGTGTAAAGCGCAGCCGCGAAACCTGGTTTGGCCGCATCAGGCAGTTACTGGGCTCCGCTGAACTTGACGACACCGTGTGGGATGAGATCGAAGAAATACTGATCTCCGCCGACGTGGGGGTTCCCACCACCATGAACGTGTTGGACGATCTTCGCTCCGAAGTACGCTCCGGTCGCGTGGTTGATGGCGAGGGAGCCTACAGCCGGCTCAGGGAACTATTATCCGCAGAACTAACGGGAGCAGGCAACCCGGACGCCTGGCTTGATGACGATGCGCTAACGCTGCCTTACGTCATCCTCGTGTGCGGCGTCAACGGGGTCGGGAAAACTACCAGCATTGCGAAGCTGGCTCACCATTTCACCCAGGCCGGCAAGCGTGTTGTCCTGGGAGCCGCCGATACCTTCCGCGCCGCCGCCGAAGAGCAATTGGAAATACTGGGCCAACGGGTGGGCGTGGACGTGATCAGCCATCAATCCGGCGCCGACCCGGGAGCCGTGGCCTATGATGCCTGGCAAGCTGCCCGTGCCCGGGGAGCCGACATACTGATCGTCGATACTGCCGGCCGCCTTCATACGCGCAATAACCTCATGGATGAGCTTCGCAAAATTCGGCGCGTGATCAACAGACTCGACGGCGCCGCGCCCCATCAGGTTTTGCTCACGCTGGACGCTACCACCGGGCACAACGGATTGACACAAGCTCAGGCGTTTACCGAAGCGGTTGGTTGCACCGGTATTTTTCTGGCCAAACTCGACGGCACCGCACGAGGCGGTATCGTGCTGTCCATCCATCGCGAACTGGGAGTCCCCATCCTGTTCATCGGCACCGGTGAAGGATTAGACGACCTGGCTCCGTTTGACCCTGTAGAATTCGTGGACGCCCTGTTGGCGCCAGCCGCCTGACGCCCGATTACCAACTGACCGTGCAGGACATCGTCGCCTGGCTGATAGCTCTCGAGGCATTGTCCTGGCTCGGATTTCCAGTCGCCCACTTGCTCATGGGCAGGCTCGCCGACCGGGGTTGGGCAGTTGCGCGCATCCTGGCGCTGTTGCTGTTGGCATGGGTTACCTGGATTGGCGGCAGCGTCGGCATTGTTCCCAACTCACCGGTCGGCATTCTGGCGGTGCTGTCCGTTTTTGTGCTTGGTTCAGTCTGGTTGGCCCATCGCCAGCGCAGTGAGCTGCGGGATTTCTTCCGGCGCCGGTGGACGGTCGTCCTGACCGTCGAGTTAACCTTTCTGGCCATGTTTGCCTTCTGGGCGCTGGTCATCAGCGAAGTCCCCGCCATCAATCACACCGAAAAACCCATGGATTTCGGGATCCTCAGCGCCATCGTGAGCGCCGACAGTTTCCCGCCCATGGACTCCTGGCTCGCCGGCCATGGCATTGCCTATTATTACGGCGGCCACTATGTCGCTGCCATGCTGACCACGTTGACCGGAGTGCCAACGGATATGGCATACAACCTGTCGATCGCCACCGTAGCAGCGCTGGCGGCCACTGGAGTGCTGGGCCTGGTGTACAACCTGCTGCGATTCTCGGGGTCCAGAGTGTCCCCGGCGCTGGTCGTCGGATTGATCGCCGCCGGGGGTGTCCTGCTGCTTGGGAACCTGTCGGGCGTGCTGGAGTTTGCCCACGTGCGCGGGATCGGAGGAGAAGGATTTTGGGGTTGGGCAGGAATCAAGGGATTAACCGCCCCCACGGGCGTAGAAGGTTGGTTCCCCGATCAATTCTGGTGGTGGTGGAGGGGCAGCCGAGTCATCGATACCTTGGCTGAAACCGGCGTTTCGCTGGATTACACCATCACCGAAGTCCCTTTCTTCAGCTTCCTGCTGGGCGATCTGCACGCCCACGTTACGGTATTGCCGTTCCTCCTCCTCGTGTTGACCCTCGCACTATCCATGATGGTATCGCCCAACCCGCCGGGATTGGACTGGATACGCCGCCAACCCTGGGAAGCCGCAGCCGTGTGCCTGGCAGTTGGAGCCCTGGCCTTCATGAACGCCTGGGACTTTCCCGTTTATCTGGCAATCATTGGCATGGCCGCGTTATTGCGATGGTTCTCCTGGTTACCCCAATCGACGACTCATCTGCCTCGGACAGCAGTCCGCCGGGAAACCGGGTGCAAAGTCGGTCTGGCCGCGCGCGATTGCTGACGCTGGGGATCGCCGCAGCGGCGTGGTCTGTTCAACCGTTCTACTGGTCATTTGACAGCCAGGCCCAGGGGATTTGCAGTGGTTGGTCCGGCTACCCGCCATTCCATTTTCTGGTCGTGATGGGGGTCCCCGCGCTGCTGCAGCCGGCTGATCATTCGGCTCTCATGGAAGTGGTTGGCCACTCGCCAGCACGCAGCGTGGCGATTGCGTGGCAGGCTTCAGCATCGCGCCATTATGTGCTGTGGCTGGTGGCTGTGGCATCAGATTGTCGGTCAACCCGGAGGATATTCAGCTGGCCGACGGCGTGGTTTTGCACGATTGGCGCTGGCGTTGCCGTGCTGGCAATTGATCGCCGCATATTGCGCGTTAGACTTGTCGGCGGCCGGCGACCAACTCGCTGGATAGAATTCACCCTGGTCACTGGCCGCCGCAGGTTTCTACCTGTTGCGGGGGCAGAGTGGTTCCACATCGCCGACCAGTTCGGCATAGAATGAACACGTATTCAGGTTTTACACCAGCGTGGCTGTTGCTGGGACGGCGGGCGCGTGGGCCACCTACTACATTATCGCAAACCCCGGCACGTCGTGGAGTGATGGGCACAAAATTGGACCGCGCTGTGCGTGCATTCGCATTGGCGTGGATTCATTCTGGTGGCGTTTCCTACTGTTGGCGTCCTCCTACTATCCTGTGGCCGCCACCCTGGAACGCATGGCTGGCCACGGACGGAACGATTGGTCGTCGAATACCCTGGCCGGGCTGGATTTTCTGCGCCATCAGAGCCTGACGAATACGCCGCTATATGTGGTTGAAACAATCGCAAACGCGCGGGAATATCGTCGAGGCGTGGGGGACGACTATTACTGATACGGTAGGATTTCGCCGCGACAGACGGCCAGCCGGAATAGGTGGGAAGGTCATCAGCGCAACTGCGAGACTATCCTCGTTATCCTTAGGCGGGACTACCACCGCTCCATTAACGAAATCGCAAAATCCGCCCGGTAAAATATTTTTGAACGGAATAGATGTTAGATGGGGCAATTGTAGGTCCCCGGGAACGGAATCCTACGGCGATGGGCGCACGGCGTCGGTC